GTGCAGGAAGTTGGGGTTTGGGGCTCCAGTCGTGATTTCTCGAGCGCGATGCTGTTTTTTTTGGCAGCGCCGGATCTCCGGGGAGACCAGCGAGACGGAGGCCTCTTCGCCGTCTTCCGCCTCCTGGGGGCCACTGCCGGGCCAGAGAACAACTCGGGGCGGAAAGTCGGCCCCAGGCAAATGGGGGGACAAGCAGCGACATAGGCACAACATGTCGGAGGTCCAGACAGAGTTCTCGGATCGGCGCTGGTCTGTCTGCCTGTCTGTCTGTCTGTCCGTCTCGTTTTTGTTTTTTGTGTAACATGTTGAATTTTTTGTTTTGTTGGTTTGCGAGCTTGTTGTTTATGAATTGTGTCACTTGTGCATCATTCGTATTCGTTTATGTGCTTGTTTTTAGTTGTGCGTTCGTTTTTGGGTAAAACAACAAACTGACATTTGTTTTATCTATCTCTCTATCCATGGCTCTATCATTTTTGGTGGTTCCTACATGTCCCTCTCTCTCTCTCTCGCTGGGTGACGTTTGCGCGGGCCTAGCGCCCAGGGTGCCCGAGAGCCGAAATGGCGAAAAATAGCAGCATCGCGACACCACGCCCAGAGCCCAATTCCCCACTTTTTCCGCGCTGTTCTCAGAGCCAGATCGATCTGTGACGGCCGCGGGGCCCGCGGTCAGGCGAAAGCCGCCCGGCGTGGCAGACACCGCAGCGCCCGGATCTCCAGGGCACGGCCGAGACCGCCGAGAAGGAGGGGCAGCCTTCCCGACGGGCAGCCTCGCTTGATGCACCCTCGCTCGCATCCTTGCTTGCACCCTCGCCTTGTCGCTCCATCCTCAACAACTTTCGTCGGCGAGCCGCGCTCGGAAAGCCACGTCGTGGACGTTCGAGGGGCTTGTATTTTTATCGTGTAGTCTTGTTATTGGGTTTGTTTTGTGCCCCCCGCGGTCGGCCCCGCCTCCGCGCTGCCGCGCGCGCGCGCCCGAGGAGGAGGGCGCGGCCGCCAGGGAGGAGCGCGCGCGGCGGGAGGCGGACGCGGTGGCCGGCCTGCGCTTCCTCGCGGAGTCGCGCGCGGGCGCGGGCGAGCGGGTCGCGGCTTGGAGGCCGATTTGTTCTTAAAGACGAGCCCAGGAACAACCCCCCGTCGTGATATTTCTTCACGACTCGAGCGCGTGTGGGCCGACCCCAACCTGGCCCCGCTCCAAGCCCGTCCCCAGGCCCCACCGGGGGGTCCATCCTGGCCGCTCTCCGAGCCGGGCGTGTCCGTGCCGCGGGCCTCTGGCGAGCAGTGTGTTCTCTCAGCTCCAGCGAGTTTCCTTGCATGGAGGGGGGATTGGGGGATCGTGGCGAGGAGGCCCGAGCGGAAATCTGGATTTTACGCAAGTCGGGCGCTCACTTTGTGCCCTGCGTTGTTCGAGACGGCGGCGGGACCCCAGGAGGAGCATTATTCGGCGGCGGGCGAGGGGGGAAGTGAGAAGGAGAAAGCCTTCTCAGAAGGCTCGGAAGTCCCCCGGCCTTCTGAGATCCTGAGCCTTCTCCGAAGACGCAGGACATTTCTCAGAAGGCGCGAGCGCTTCTGAGAAGTCTCGCCGCCTTTGAGAAGGCCTTCTCCTTCTCACTTCCCCCCCCTCGCTCGCCGCCGAATGCTGGATCATCCTGCGGGAGAAAGCACTTGTACGACATCGAACAATACGCGGCGGGGAGTGGACGTCCGAGCGGTGGCGATGAAATGGAGGGGGGGGGCAGCGAGCGCTGCAGAAAAGGGGCCCTCCAGGGCCCCGTCTAGGGGCTCTTCAGGGCCCCAAAGGGGACGCTCGGGGCCCGAGAAGAAGTGCGCCTTCCTCTCCCCCCCTCCATGTATCGCCCCCTCCCCCCCCGTGAGGCGACTCCCAGGGCCGCCTTTCTGCTGCCTTTCCCCTCGCCTCTCCCTTGTCCTGGGCACCGCTTGGACGTGTGCGCTGTTTCCCGGCGACGACCGCCGAGGCGCCTCTCTCTCTCTTTCTCTCTTTGTTTGCTCTTCCTCACCCCAGGAGGGAGGCCGCCGAGATCGCGGCGACGCTGCCGCAGCTGGAGCAGGCCGAGAAGGACGCCAAGCAGCGGCGGGACGACCTTCAGAAGGAGGTCGACGCGCACCGGGCTGCCGCCGAGGCCGCGCGCAAGGCCGAGGCCGAGGCTCTGGGCCTCCCCGATGGGGTCCGAGTAGGTGGTGTCGGAGGATCGCGCCGCATCGCCGATGCATCGCCGACGCGGCTCGATGTGGAGCCCCTGTTTGCTTCGCGCCGACGTCGCCGATGCACCGCCGACGCCGACGTTGCATCGCCGGTGCGTCGCTGATGCATCGCCGATGTGTCGGCGACGCGGCGCGATCCTCCGACCCCATCTGCCCCGACCCCATCCAGGAGGAGGAGAAGGAGGGAAAGGAGGAGGAGGAGGAGAAGGAGGGAGGAAGAACGGGAGGAGGAAGGAGGAGCGAGGGAGGGAGCGAGGGCGGGAGCGAACGAGAGAGGCGGTGCGAGGGAGGAGGAGGAAGCCCCTCCCAGAGTGAGGAGGAATCGGTGCGAGGGTAGTAGGAGGAGGGGGAGGAGGAGGAGGCAGGGGAGGAGGAGAGAGGAGGCCTCTCGAGGCTGAGGCCGCGCGCTGGAGCGGCCGCGGCCGAGGCCGGAGTTCGAGTGCCGCGCGGCCGGCCGAGCCGAGGCCGCCGGCCGACGGCCGTCGGCACGGCCCGCGGGGCGCCCGCGGCCGGGCGCCGCCCGCGCCGAGGCCGAGGCCGCGCCCGCGGAGCCCGCGGCGGGGGCCGCCGCGGCGCCGCGGGGGGGCGGGGCCGCGGGCGAGGCGCGGCGGGTGTGGCCTTAAGTCAGGCCTGTCCCCCATACAGGGGGATTTTCGACGAAAAATAAAAGATACCGCGAAATAGTTAAAAATAAGCAAAAAATGGTATGGGGACTATGTTTTGGGTATTTCTTGCCTTCTTGGAGCATTTTTTGGGTATTTTTTATGTTTCGTCGAAAATCCCCCTGTAGGGGGACACGCTCGACATAAGTGTAGCCTTGTGGAGGACGATCAATGGATAATGGAGGGGAGCATGTTACCAAATGATTTCCATATGTCTAAAACATGTGTTAAGCGTGTGTGTGTGTGTGTGTGTGAAACATGTGCAAAAAACATGTTTGAAGCATGTTTGGAACATTTTTCCGACGTTTCAAACGCATCTTAAATTCAATGATAGGACTGTTGGGGTGTCCATTGTCGTGGCATTCACAAGTGTGGCCCTAAGTCGGGCACGTCCCTCTACAGGAGGACGATTCAAAAATTGTCAGAACAGTTCATAGGGGTACCATGTTTGGGTTATTTCAAACATTTTTCCAAGTAACCCCAAAAGGCCAAACAATATTTCTGTTTTTCGTCCGACATCCGCCTGTAGGAGGGCATTGGTTCAGGGGAGCCAGTTAGTGACTGGGCCCCGGAGCCCCGAGCATGGGCTGGAGTCATTAAGCCAGGTCTGCCGTAGCTGTGTTTGTTCGGGTGTCGCAGGCCTAGAGATTGACACCGACACCAATATCGGCGGTGTGCATCCACCGAGAGAAGAAGATCCCGATCTCGGTGGTGGTGCTGATATTCTGGCTTCCAGGTGGCCGAACTATTGCCACCGATTCCGGAATCTAGGATCATCTTCCCCCTGCGGAGGCAACCCCCTGTGTTGGTGTTGGTGCCCATTTCTAGGCCTCCAAGGGTGGCGGCAGTTCCAGGCTTGCGCCCGCCAGGTTTGGGCCTCAGGCCGTTTTCACTAAACCACGTTTTACTGAAGGGGGGTCTGTCCATCCCCGAAGCCAGGTCTGCCGTAGCTGTGTCTGTTCGGGTGGCGGCAGCTCGAAAAAGACTGCCCGCGGGGAGAAACCGTCGGAACCTCCATGGGGCCGTGGCCGCGCACGGGGGCCGGGGCGCCGCCTCGGCGGGTGCGCGCTTTGCGGCGGCACGGCGGCCACCCCGAGGCGCGGGCGCTCCGGGTGGAACGCCGCCGCGGGTCCGAAGTCTCGGGCCGGGCGGAAGGGGGGGATTGGGAAAGGAGGGGTTGCGAAATTTGCTGCATGCAGCTGGTTTTCAGTCGGGCCTGTCCCCCTACAGGGAGATTTCGACGAAAAATAAAAAAGACCCCAAACATATTAAAAACTAATCCAAAAATAGTCTTAGGGATTATTTTGTACTATTTTTTGGCCTTTCTGGGGTATTTTCGGGGTATTTTATATTTTTCGTCGAAAATCCCCCTGTAGGGGGACACGCCCGACATAAAGCTGGTTTCGGCCTCACCGAGGGGCCCATTCCTCGATACATGGCCGCCTCCGGCGCCGGGAGGCGCCGGGAAAATCAGCTACGTGAGCTGATTCTCAACCCCCCCCTTTGCTATCCCCCCTTTCGCCCGACCCGAAAGTCGGGCATGTCCCTCTACCGGAGGAGCATTCAAGAATAGTATACGCAGAATTTGGTGGCAATCTTTCGTGCTCTTCTGATTGTGTTCGGATCTCAAGTTGTTTCTTGCAAGATCTGCCTGTAGGAAGACATGCCCGACCTAATTAACACTGGTCCGGAATCGGCCGACGTCAACCCCAGCGCGGGCGTTCAAGGTTGAACGCCGCCATTGGTCTAGAATCGGCCGATGCCAAAATGGTCTGCACAGTCGGAGAGCAGCCATCAATCGAAGGTGGTGGATCCACGCGGTGCCAGAAACCAACGCCGACGTCATCGCGACGTGACCTGCCGCACAGCGAATTTATTGGAGTAAGGACCACTGGTGTGGGACGGGGCTCCAGGTTCCTGGGCCCTTCGGCAGGCGCTCCTGCGGCGCTCTACTCCTGGTAAAGCTAGCCACTGCTTGGGCCTAATTTGGGTTTCGTCTTGTTCCTACTGCTTCCTCTAGGGTCTCGCTCCCCTCTCTTCTCCGTGGAGGGATGAGGACCTCGTCTGTGCGCAATTATTGCTCTGCCCCAGCAGTTGCTAAACGCCCTCCTTCCCGAGGCGCCGGTGGTGTCCGAGTACGCCAAGTGGGCTCTGGATCGGGAGTCCAAGGACAATGGCGGGCGGCCCAAAAGTCCGCGTCGTTGGGTTCGTGTCTGAGCTGAAACATCCCTCCAGCTGAAGGTCGGTGGGGACGTGCTTCTTGACTGGTCGCGGGCCTTTCGAATGCGCGCCTTTGCGTGGCTGGCAGGACTGCCCAGAGGGGCCCAATTGAGAGCGAAGCTTCGAGGAGACTCCCAGAGGAGCAGCATGTAAAACAGTCTGGCGCATGTGATCTGTGACCACTTGCGAACCCCCTACCCGTGCGGGTCCGGCCGACGCTGGGGCATCGGGCGCCCTCGCTGGAGCTTACCTGGCTTCGAGATCCGGGCCCTCAGCCGGCGTCGCAGAAGTCGGACCTGCAGGGGTAGGGCTCGCATGTGGTTGCCCATAGTTTGAGAGGTGGAGAGAGTAGTGTCGTGGTTGGAGCGAGAATCGAGGGTGACGACCGGTGCGCGTGGAGGGGCGGGTGATAGTTGTAAGCCGGGCACGTCCCTCTACAGGAGGAACATGAAAAAGTAATGACAAATCGTCTGGTGAAGATGTTTTCATTTTTTGGTGGTGACTTACTATCTGAAATTTGTCTTCCAAAATTCGCCTGTAGGAGGACATGCCCGACCTAATGATAGTGGCTCTCACCAGGTCCAGACAAATTTGCTCCTCGGGCACCACCTTGGCCACAGCGTTGAGAGTCCCACCGCACTCGCAACTAGTGCTTGCAGCGCATCCTGCTCGAAACATTGAGCAGAGGGCTGTCATGATCGGGGGGACGTGCGACTCGGAGAGTTTGGGGACTCGACTTTCTCCGACGGAGCCGTCAGAAAGCTGACCGGACGGAGTCTGCAATTGGACGCGATCTCCCGCCGCAGCCATCGCACGGACAACCAGACCGCCCAAACGCATACCCGGCCCGTGGCGGTCGACCCGAGTTCCGGCAGAGTCGAGGTTGCGTTCCCCTGATTGCGAAGGCCTTACGGCCGGTGCCGCCGACCCTGAAGGGGGACGACGACGACGACGACGACGACGACGACGACGACGACGACGACGACGCTGACGCGGTTTATCATTGTGCAGTGCGCGCTTGACGATCGGTGGGGGTCGCGCTGGGAGTCGGGGGAGCTCGACGCGCCCAGCTCGGTTTTTTATATCGGGGGCCCCGTCGTTGCGCCCTCGGGGTTGCTGGCAGTATGCTTATGAGGCGATGTTTGCGTATATGTTTTTGGCTATTTCTCATTTGTCCGTCGATGCCAGGCGATGTTTGCGTAAAGGCGATGTTTTTGTATTTGCGTATGTTTAAGGCGATGCTTGCATATGTTTTCGGCTATTTCTCATTTTTCCTGCAAGATCTGCCTGGAGGGGAGCTCGCCCGACCTACCAGTCGATTTGTTGCATGCGTGCGTGTCTGATGTGACGTTTGTACATGCGCGCCAGGGCCGTCCGTCCATGACTCAGGATGCAACACCTAGGAGGTTTCACAGTCTCCTCATTCGGCACACTCACGCTTAATTCCGTTTATTTTCCCTGGGTATGATTACATCCAGAGTTTGATTTTGTTTGGTCCGCCTTGATAGGGGCTTAGTCGCACCAACTCGTACTCATGAAGACCTTCCAGAAATTGTTCCTTGACATGGCGCACTGTGCGGTCCAGGGCTGCTGCATTGTATTTCATGATCTTTCCGTGTCCTATCTTCGTGCTGAAGCGCGTTGGAGCCAGGCCTGGTGCCGGTTCCATCACCTGCGCCTCGGCAGCGGCCGTCGTTGACGCCGCTGCCGTCCCAGTCGGCTTTCAGATAGTCTCTTTACGTGAACCTGTGCGTTATTCGTCTCCTCCTCCTCCTCCTCCTCCTCGTCCTCCTACTCCTCCTCCTCCTCCTCCTCCTCTTCGCTCCTCCTCCTCCTCCTCCTCCTCCTCCTCCTCCGCCTCTTCCTCCTCCTCCTTTGCCCCTCGCGTTGGAGTTGCCCGGAGGACGCGCCCGACCGCGGCCCGGCGTCGGACAGCGACGCCGACGGGCCGTCCACGGGCACGGCGGGGACCGGCGAGGACGCGTCGACGCCGCAGGCGGAGAGGGACCTGGAGGACGCCAAGAGCGCGTACCTGGCTGCCTCCGCGAAGGCAAAGCAGGCCAGGGCGGACAAGCAGGAGCTGGACAAGAACGCGAAGCTCGACTTCGGGGACGATTTCCGCTGGATCTCGCTGGTCGGCGCCTGCCCCGAGAAGCCGCTCGGGGAGTACCTCGCTCCCTCCATCTGGAGCCTTGTGGGTCTCCGCGGAGGTCGCATGAGGCTTCCTGAGCCCCAGAAAGGTGAAACACCTAATACTACGTAGGATAACCTCGATCCTCCCCCTCGCCCTCCTCTCCCCTCCCCTTCCTCCCTTGCCGATCTCCCTCTTCTTCCTCCTCCTTCTCCTTCTCCTCCTCCTCCTCTTCCTGCTCCACTCCTCCTCCTCCTCCTCCTCCTCCTCCTCCTCCTCCTCCTCCTCCTCCTCCTCCTCGAGGTACACCTACAAGGTGTGCTTCTTCGGCGAGGCGAGGCAGGACAGGACGCTGCTGGGCAGGTACGCCGGCTGGGACGCCTCCGACCCGATGGTCATTCGGGGAGACGCCTGTCGCACTCCGCCCTCGCACTGCTATCCCGCCGCCCTCCCTTCTCTAGATGCCCCTTCAGAGCGAAGTAGAGCAGCTCACGAACGCAGGATCGGCATCAGCGCCTTTTCCGAGTGGTGGTTGTCACCCGAATTTGCTGGCGTATCAGATTCTCGAGGCCACGGCCTCCACGCCATCCTCTGGATGGGCACGGGCGGGCTCTCCAGCAGAGCGCGCACGCCTCCGGCGTTGGCTTCGCTTCGCCTCCCCCTTCCTTCCAGGCGCCGCTGCTCTTGACTTATGTCGGGCCTGTCCCCCTACAGGGGGATGTTCGACGAAAAATAAAAGATACTCAAAAAATAGTCAGAGGAGTGTTTTTTTACCTTTTTGGGGGCATGTTTAGGGTATTTTTAATTTTTCGTAGAAAATCTCCCTGTAGGGGGACAGGCCCGACGTAACTCTTGACACTCAGCACCACTGCCAGGGTCGTTCCCGGGGGGTGCCGGCGTGGCGAGGCCGTTGCCCGCGCCCTGCTGCCACAGATCGCTTGCTCATTGGTGCCGCTCTCGCAGCTCTGCCCTGCTGGGGACGCCAGGGGCACGCTCCTGCAGGGCCCGCCGTCGGGGGTCGGAGTTCTGAGGGGGAGGAGGAGGAGGAGGAGGAGGAGGAGGAGGAGGAGGAGGAGGAGGAGGAGGAGGGAGGAGGAGGAGGAGGAGGGAGGAACAGGGAGGAGGGAGGAGGAGGAGGAGGAGGAGGAGGAGGAGGGAACAGGAGGAGGAGAGGGAGGAGGAGGAGGAGGAGGAGGAGGAGGAGGAGGAGGAGGAGGAGGGGAGGAGGAGACGGAGGAGGAGGAGGAGGAGACGGAGGAGGAGGAGGAGGAGGAGGGAGGAAGGAGGGGAGGAGGAGGAGGAGGAGGAGGAGGAGGAGGAGGAGGAGGAGGAGGCGGGGAGGAGGAGGAGGAGGAGGAGGAAGGAGGAGGAGGAGGAGGAGGAGGAGGAGGAGGTGGAGGAGGAGGAAGGGAGGGAGGAGGAGGAGGAGGAGGAGGAGGAGGAGGAGGAGGAGGAGGAGGAGGAGGAGGAGGAGGAGGAGGAGGTGCCAATCTGAAAAGTTGTTCGGCGGTTTGCCAGCCTCGGGATGCCTTCGAGCGGCGGCGCCGCGTCGAGGGCGTTCCCAGGGTGCTTGGACCGTCCCGAGCGGCCGCCAGAGACCCGAGCTCTGGCCCGCAAGCCGGCAGGCATCGGAGAGGCGAGGGGCCCACACATCGATCGAGCAGACAGGCAGGCCTTGCGCCTGGAGGACGCATCGGCACTTCGGTCGAAACCGATGGTAAGGGCCGGTAATGTTCCCGAGGGGAGCCCTTCGCCTCTTCGATCCATCCGTGCCTACTCTCGATGGCCCGCCGCGCTCGAAGAGGCTTCGACACGGGAGTCCCAGGGACTTGCGTCCTCATCGCGCATCCGTGCTACAGTCGGCCCGGATTAGGAGGTCGACCCTGCCAAACCAAGGGTACCCTTAGGTACCCTTGTGTCCTGTGCCTCGCGACCCATGCGTCCTACATTCCCCGTGGCAGTGTGGCCCTCGGAAGGGTCTTGTGTCCTCTCGCGTGTCCTGTCCAATCGAGTCCGACTGTATCAGTTTTGATTGCAAGACGCCGCCGGGAGCACAGCACCCCGGGCCGTTTGGGGGCCATCTTTGGCCATCTTGGGCGCCTCTTGGGCCGTCTCAGGGCCCTCATGGAGGCTTCTTGGACCGTCTTGTAGCGGTCTTGGGGGCCTTTGGGCCGTCTTGGAGCGTTGGGAAGTCGAAAGACGAGAAACGTGATGCGAAACATGTATGTTTCTTCCGCAGGGAATGGGGCGAATTTTGCTTGTTGGGGCCTCTTTGAGAGCCTCTTGAGGCTCTCCTGGGGCTTTTTCGCGGCGTCTGCAGCCGTCTGGAGGCTATCTTGGGCGTCTTGGACCGATCGGTCGGCGACTCGGGGCCCTTTTGGACCGTCTTGGGGACTCTTGGGGCCCTCTACGAGCGCTCCGGGGCGCCTGAAAGCCGCGCCCAGAAGGAAAAACCATCTGAGTCGGACCGGCCGGGTTACTTTTCGTCCAGGGGTCCCCAGGGGCCGCCACGCGCGCGCGAACTAGAAATACTGTTAATCTGTTACCAGAGATCTCTCGCACGACATGTCCTTAGATTATGTGAGGCTGAGACTGTCTAGTTTTACCACATTGGCTTCATGTTCTAAGAACACTGGTTGTGTTATTGGAACATGCCTTAAGTCAAAGAGCATGTCGTGGTAGGCCTATAGAAATGCCTGGACAGCCGTTCCCTGCTCAAGCATTCGCGCGTAAGTTGTCCGCGTATGGACGCGCGTATGCGCCCTCGTTTCCGATGTAGTGTGTCGCGCTAGCGGCCCGCGTTAGCCACCGCGTAAGGCCGCTATGTCATTTCGCGTAAGACTCGTTTCTGCCGTCGGTCGCTTGGACGGCCTGCCCTGCCGCGCCCCAGGTCATGACCTTCGCGAAGGGCTCCTCGTGCCCCGGCGGCACCTCGAGGGCCCTGCGGGTGCGGCTGGAGTGCGCCGCGTCGCAGGACGCCCACAGCCCGGGGAGAGGGGGGGGGCCTCCTGCTCAGGTCCGAGAGATCGTTTACATTCAAAAAGGAGAACCACCTTAGCCCCCCATCGTAGGCGTTAGCTCGAAGGCCGTGTCCTGCTCGAGTTCTTTTTTTTGTGGGTTTACTCAACGGCTTCGCTTGCTGGGGTGCTTATTGCGAGGGTGTTTTTCTGTGCAGTTCTCTGCGCAGACAAGAGTGACCATTCGCTGGAGTGACCGTTGTAGGGGGTTCTCGGGTGGGGCGGAGGGGGGCCGAACACTTGAGGCTGCCACTGTCGCATCGCACGCATTGATCCGCACGCCATGCACCAAAGTGCACTATTGCCCAGAATCGCGCTTCGGTGTAGTAGCCGAAACGAGGAGGGAGGAGGAGGAGGAGGAGGCGGAGGAGGAGGAGAAGGAGGAGGACCAGTGTAAGCCCAAGAGTCATCAACGATGTTGGAGTAACCCCCCCTCCAAGCTCTCTCTTTTCATAGGCCCCTACAGAGGTTCATTTCCATTGATGCAATTGCCGCATTGGAAGACACCTGTTTGAAGAGTCTGAAGCATGCCAAATCATTGTTCTCGGGATTCCAAGGCCGCGGATCAGCCTGATCGTTGCGTCTTGACGATCCTGAATCGTGCCAGAACGCCGTTCGTAGGACTTCAACACAAAGGATCAACGTAACTGTTGCACCCGCATAATCCTGAACCCTTCCAGAACACAATTTCTGGTACGTTCATGGTGGGAGTCCGTGAAATTCTTGCAGAGTTGTACAGCGAATGTGCACCGCGCTAAGGCGAGAGCCACATGTTGAACAGGAACCGCCCTCATTCCGTGAAACCCTTGCAAACTTTTACAACGAGTGTGCGCCGCGCTGAGGCGAGAGCCACATGTTGGAAACTACCCGCCGTCAATCCGTGAAACTCATGCAACTTGTTTCAAAGAGTGTGCGCCGCGCTAAGACAGGAGCCACATGTTGAAAACCACCCGCCCGCAATCCGTGAAACTGTTGGACAAGTTTACAACGAGTGTGCGCCGCGCTGAGGCGAGAGCCACAGTTTGAACAACTGCAGATGTGTAGACGAATATGCGCTGCGCTAAGGCGAGGGCCACATTTTGAAAACCACCCGCCCTCAATCCGTGAAGTTCTTGCATTTGTTTCCCAGCCCTCCTTGGTTGGGTATTCGTTTTAATCAGAGCACCGCGGTCCCGTCTTCTCCTCCTCGCGCCTCATCCCGCCTCCTTCTTGCTGCCCTATCTTCGCCGTCACTGGGGGGCTGTGATCTGCGAACCTGTTGCCACTTTCGAGGGCTGCTGGTGGGTCCAGCGGAGTGAGGCACCGCGCGGATCTGAGCGGGACCTCGCCGATCCTGGGGGTGGGTTGCGATTTGCAAACTGGTCGCCAGTTTCGAGAGCTGCTGGTGGGTCCAGCGGAGTGAGGCACCGCGCGGACCTGAGCAAGACCTGCCCGTCCATGGGGGGCTGCGATCTGCGAACGTGTCGCCGCTTTCGAGGGCTGCTGGTGGGTCCAGCGGGGTGAGGCACCGCGGGGATCTGAGTGAGACCTGGCCGTCCCTGGGGGGGCTGCGATCTGCGAAGGTGTCGCCATTTTCGAAGGCTGCAGGTGGTCCAGCGGAGTGAGGCACCGCGCGGACATGAGCGAGACCTGGCCGTCCTTGGGGGCTGCGATCTGCGAAACAGTCGCCACTTTCGAGGGCTGCTGGTGGGTCCAGCGGAGTGAGGCACCGCGCGGACCTGAACGAGACCTCGCCATCCTTGGGGGGCTGCGATCTGCGAAGTTGTCACCAGTTTCGAGGGCTGCTGGTGGGTCCAGCGGAGTGAGGCACCGCGCGGACCTGAGCGGGACCTTCCCGCCCCTGGGGGGCTGCGATCTGCGAGATTGTCGTCACTTTCGTGGGCTGCTGGTGGGCCCAGCGGAGTGAGGCACCGCGCGGATCTGGGGGGGGGGGGGCTTTTTGTTGTTTGGGGGGCTGCGATCTGCGAACGTGTCGCCGCTTTCGAGAGCTGCTGGTGGGTCCAGCGGAGTACGGCACCGCGCGGACTTAAGCGAGACCTGGCCGTCCCTCCAGGGGCTGCGATCTGCGAAACAGTCGCCACTTTTGAGGGCTGCTGGTGGGTCCAGCGGAGTGAGGCGCGGGCCTGAGCGGGACCTCGCCGTCTTTGGGGGGCTGCGATCTGCGAAAGCGTTGCCACTTTCGAGGGCTGCTGGTGGTTCCAGCGGAGTGAGGCACCGCGCGGACCTGAGCGGGGCCTCGCCGTCCCTGGGGGGCCATGCCATGTTGTTGCTGCCCCGCCGACGTTTCAAGCCCATTGCCCACCGTCTCCTTTTGGACTTTGCGTCGTCCTTGGTGACCCAGGGGTTCACTTAGTTAGTTATTCCCTTGATTGGGGACCTGCGAACCTTCCGAATGCCGCTCGCAGAAGTGTATGCGTCCATGTCACATCGCCGCCTTCTTGACAAATCTCCCAAGCTGCTCCTGCCCCGCATTGCGCAGGGCTTGGGTGCGTCGCCAGGGCAATTGAAAACGAATGTACGCCGCGCTAAGGCGAGAGCCACATTTTGAAAACGACCCGCCTTCAATCCGTGAAACGTTTGCAAATCTTGAGCACGAATGTGCGGTAAGGCGAGGGCTACATTTTGGAAAGAAACCGCCCTCAATCCGTGAAAGTCTTGCACATTTTGAAAATGAGAGTGCGCGGCGCTAGGGCGAGAGCCACATGTTGAAAACCACCCGCCCTCAACCCGTGAAGCTCTTGCACATGTTTGAACGAATGTGCGCCGCGCTGAGGCGAGAGCCACATGTTGTAAACCACCCGCCCTCAATCCGTGAAAATCTTGCAAGTTTGGAAACGAATGTGCGCGGCGCAAGACGACAACCACATCATGAAGACCATCCACCCTCCATCTGTGAAGCTGTTGCCGCTTTTTCAGTTTCAGAGTCATCAATGGTGAGGGAGTCTCAGACGAAACGCCCGGCCCGCCCTAAAACTGGCCTCGGGGTGCGACAGGGAGATGCTATCTACAACGAGAAGGAATGGAGGAGGAGGAGGAGGAGGAGAAGGAGGAGGAGGAGGAGAAGGGAGGGGTGAGGAGGAGGAGGAGGAGGAGGAGGACGCGGCGGAGGCGGCGGAGGCGGAGGCGGAGGCGGAGGCGGAGGACGAGGAGGAGGAGGAGGAGGAGGAGGAGGAGGAGGAGGAGAAAAAGGAGGAGGAAGAGGAAGAAGAGGAATGATAGTACTAATCATCATAGTAATCATACTAGTAATACTACGACTAAGACGAATAATACTACATAACCAGGGTCATACTACAAATGATAATAAGGCAATTAATAAGGAGGAGCAGGACGAGGCGGAGGCGGAGGCTGAGGCGGAAGAGGAAGAGCAGGAGGATGAGGAGGAGGAGGAGGTGGAGGAGGAGGAGGGAGGCGAAGGAGGCACACACGTATTAGTAATAATAGTGATAAGATGAGCAAGAAACTAATATGACGACGAATCGTAATACCAATGCTAATATTACAAAGGAGAGGAAAACTAATCATGATAGCAATATGAGTTCTAAGAATTAGAATGATACGAGTACTATCTAAGAGCCATATTACGAATAAGAAGGATACGAATAATAATACGAACGCGCAAAATCACTCTGATAAGACTAACACGAAGAAACTGACTACGACTATTCATACTACGAGTCAGAAGAATTCTACTAGCGATAATACTACGACTTGTAATAGTACTACCAATATGACGTATACTACGACTACGAATCGTGATCGTCAACATCAGACCACTAGTAATGATCCGAATGGCACGAACACGAATCAAAAACAATTAATCGAACAATGCGAAGAGGACTCATGATACTACTAAGATAAATGATAATACGAATAAGGCAACGCATACTGCTGCTGTCATTGCTACTACTACTACTACTACTACGACTACGACTACTAATGATACTATCAATGATAAGAAGAAGGATACTACGCATACGGATGCCAATGCTAAGACTTGTGATGCTAAACGAGGGTAATACGATACATCGTAATAAGATGAATATGAAGAAGAGGAGGAGGAGCAGCAGCAGGATGCTAGGAGGAGGAGTAGGAGGAGGAGGAGGAGGAGAAGGAGGAGGAGGGAAGAGGAGATGGAGGTGGAGGAGGAGGAGGAGTAGCTGCAATCGGCTGGGACGTTCAAGTTTCGAGGTTCTCGTTTGGTTGTTGCTGCTTTCCAAGCCTCGGAATGCTGTTCACCACAGCAAATTGGGCTCAAGCCGTTTCCAGCACCGTACTCCGCTGGTTCTAGATACCGTACCGTTGCGACCGGATTGCGGTCGTCGGTTTCGCACAGGCTAGGGCGTCGATTCATACGGCCCCCGCTTCCCCAATGTTCGCTCGCGCATTCTGGGCCGTGGCGCAGCAGGTGTCGCTCGCGGGGGCCATCGCCGTGGCCTTCGACCGGGAGGCAGGGGCTGGGCATGGAGCGGGGCAGGGCAGATCGGCCGCCCACGTCGGCGTGATGAGCAAGTCCGGGGTCACGCGGTACAGCGCGCGGCAGATCAGGAAGGCCCGCAGCACCCAGGGGGCTTTCTGGCCAGATTCCAGCAGCCGCGGCAACTCGCTCTACGCCGGCGCGGGGGACCTCACGGACAACGTCTCGTGGGGGTGGCACCACCCGAACGGGGTCTTCAGCACCATCCCGGTCGGAGCGCCCCTCATCGACAGCGAGCTGAACATCTACATCGGGTCGGACGACGCCATCCGGAAGTTCGACGTGTCCGGGGAGTTGCTCTGGAGCTACGCCCCCCGCGGCCAGCTCGCCGCCGCCCCGTCCATAGCCATCGGCTCGGGGTCGCGGCGCATGGCCGTGGCCCCCACCGAGGTCTCCGCCGAGGAGGAGGCGGCCCTCCGGCCGGACTGGGCGAAACAGGGGGACGACCCCGAGGTCCCGTATGAGACCTTCTTCGCCCAGGTCAAGGTCGGCGACCGCCTTAAGGTGCGCCCGGGCAAGGCGTTTGTCGGGGATGGCGGCAAGGACCTTTACAGAGACGGCGACCAGGGCAGGATCGCCAAAGTCATCAGGCAGGGAGGCGACGATGAACGGGTGGTCATCCAGTGGCCGCGCACCGGCCACGAGAGCGTCGCGAACCTCGCCTCCCTGGGCAAGAGGTTCGTGCGCGTCGCCAGCGAGGTCAGTGCGGCCACCCTGCCGCCCATGCTCGTCGGGAGCACCACCTCTGGCTACGTGTTCGCTGTCGGGCTCAGCGACGGGGAGGAGATCTGGGCGACCCAGGCCTCCGAGCAGATCGCTGGCGTCAAAGGGGCCGTTGGCGCCAAGGACGGGGTGGTCGTGGTCGCGACCAACCGCTGCACCGACCGGTACTGCTACCGGTACCGCAACCAGACGAACCCACTCACGCCGAGCAACTCCATCGTGAGGGGCCTCAGCGCAGCGGACGGCAGCGCCCTGTGGTCCTACAAGACGCGGTCGCCCGTGTGGAACATGGTGCCGCAGTGGGGCCCCAACGACACCGTCATGTTCCAGGACTTCGAGGCCAACGCGTACTGCCTCAACTTCAAGACCGGCGCGCTGGTGTGGAAGTTCCGCGCCTCCAAGGGCATGGGCACTTACACGAACGCCGCCGCCGTGTACGACGCGGCGTCCGAGCGGTTCTTCGCGATGGGCGCCAAGGAGTACGAGCACAAGTATTGCAACCCGTACCCTGCGCCCGGTGTCCTGCCCCACTGCAACACGTGGCCCGGCTCTCCAGGTATGATCTACGGCCTCAACGCGACTTCGGGCAGGAAGATGTGGGAGTACGAGACCCCCGAGCCGCCAGCCAGCGGCGCCGTCGGCTTCCTGAACAGCCCCGCGGGCCACACCAGGCTGGTGGTCACCATGGGCTACAACTGCAGGTACAACTCCCCCACCCGGCTCCTGATCCTCGACCCGAACAATGGCCACTGGCGGTTGGAGAGGGAGGGCCCGACGCTGTGGTCTGGCATGTGCGCGGGAGACAGGGAGGGCGGCGACATCCGGAGGGCGATGGGCGGCCGCGCCGCGTGCGTGCCGAACTCCTGGTCCAGCCCGGTCATCGACTCCAACGGCGACTTCTACGTCGGTAACCAGGTGGGGGTGCTGCAGAAGTGGGGGTCTCCCACGGGGCGGAACCGCGACTTCCAGGTGCTCTCCACCCTGACCACGGGGGTGGCGTTCCAGGACTCGGCCATCGCATTCGGGCCTGGCATCATGGCGGTGTCGACGTGCACTTCCCTCATCGTCATGCAGACTTCGGATGGGGACAACTTCACCTTTCCCCTCGAGTACTGAGCCTGCGAGGCGAGAACAGGTGGAGAGGAGGAGGTGGTGGAGGAGAGGAGGAGGAGGGCGGTCAACTGATGTTGCAGACGCTATCTTCGTGCAGCATTGCTTTCCTACCTCCCCTCGTCATTTTGATGCGTGAGCTAGAGTCTTCAGGGCCCTCACTGCGCCGAGCTGGCCCAGGCTTTCATTCCGAGCCTGCAGCCAACCTCCAGGATCGCCTCGTGCAGTGATGAACATCGCGAGGCACGGGAGGGCCCAGAGACTCTTTCCACTTCATGTTGAGTTTGTCTTCATGAGGGCAGTCGCCATCTGTACTTCTTGGGGCCACTCGCGCATGCAGCGAGTGGCACGTCGTTAGGACGTCCCTGCTGATAGGACTCAATACGCTTGAAGTCGGGCGCTCAAACCAAGAAACAAATCAGTGTGAGGGGGCCGAACGGTCATTCACTGTCCCTGTGTGCGTGGCTGAAGTGGGACTCCGCGGCGCGGACTCTGCTTGTTGTTGTGCTGCGTTGTTGCTGTCGTCGTCCCCCCCGCGACCGGGCCCGCGGCCAACCCGCGACCCACCCGCGACCCACCCACATTGCTTCAACGAAAAAAAGGGCGGCTGCGGCGGGCTCGTTGTGTAATCTGAATCTGTGGAAATCACGGACGGCGCTCTGGGGCTTTTCAAGCCTGTTTCTCGGCGGCCTCTACCGTCGTATCGCGCGGGAGGGTCTTCAAGCCGCGCACGAAAGATCAGACTTGCGAGTATCAGCCAAGGGAGGAATGAACACCCCGACCCCGATGATCGGTGTTTACGAACGGCCCCGAGCGTAGACTAAGCAGCCCTGTCCTGTTCGATGCTTTCCTTGGGTGCGTTTACTAAGCGGCTTCGCTTGTCGGGGCGCCTCTTATGGAGGGTGGATCTTCTATTCTCTAGTCAGATGGGACGACAGCGGGGGTTGCCCAATCTGCTCACGCAGATGATTCTCGCGGCGCCAGAGGCGCCCGCGTATCGAGGACTGCGCACGACAGCGGAGGCGAAACAATCTGCGTGAAACAGATCTCGTACTGCATCGGGCTCCCTCGCTCGCCGCGCCCCGTGCCTCCCGAGTGTGTCCCTGCCGGGCCCCAGCAGGGCGTCTGGGCAAACACAGCGGCTCCGGAGGAAGAGCAGGCCCCAGGGAGGGGCAGATGCGCCTCCTCCTCCTCCTCCTCCTCCTCCTCCTCCTCCTCCTCCTCCTCCTCCTCCTCCTCCTCCTCCTCCTCCTCCTCCTCCTCCTCCTCCTCCTCCTCCTCCCCCCCCTCCTCCTCCTTCTCCTACCGCTCCTCCTCATCCTGCTCCTCCTGCTTTCCTGCTCCTCCTCCTCCTCCTTCTCCTCCTCCTCCTCCTCCCTCCTCCCTCTCTGGCTCCCTCTCCTGCCCGTAGTAGTAGTGGTGGAGAAGATCGCCTCCCGTCAGAGGGGCAGATGCGCCGGTTCTCAGAGATTTCCGATTCAGCCCCAGTCTGAGATTCCCCAAGTCCTGGCGTTGCAGTTATGCCACACCGGGCGATTTCGCGCCCAGTTTCGGGCGCCGGGACCCTGACAGATCGATCCGGCTCGAGAGCTGACGCATGAGGACGGGGTCCAGGTTAGGGCTCCAGTGGTGGTTCTTCGCGATGCTGCAATTTGCCCAACCATCCTGTGGTGTTGGGTCCCCGCTTTGAAGAAAAAACGCACCGCGTTCACTCTTCCTCCCTCTCCTCCCTCCTCCCACTATCGTCATTGTCATCGTCATCGTCATCATCTTCATCATCATCATCATCATCATCATCATCATCATCATCATCATCACCGATGTCGTCGTCGTCGTGGTCGTGGTCATCTTGGTCGTGGTCATCGTCGTCGTGGTCGTCGTCGTAGTAGTCACCGTCGTCACCGTCGTCACCACCACCACCACCACCATCATCATCATCATCATTATCATCATCATCATCATCATCATCATCATCGTCATCATCACCATCACCATCACCATCATCATCATCATCATCACCATCATCATCATCGTTGTCGTCATCATCACCCTCATCATCATCACCGTCATCAGCATCATCATCACCATGATCATTATCATCATTATCATCATCACCATCATCATCGTCATCATCACCATCATCGTCGTCATCTTCGCCGTCATCATCACCATCATCGCCATCAGCTTCGGCAGACCACTCACACTTTTGGTGGCCCCATAGGGAGCTCCACCGAAGGCCCCAGTGGCGGTGTCCACATGCGTCCGCGCCACCGATTTCGGCACACCCCTCACACGTTTCGTGGTCCCATAGAGATCTCCACCGAAGGTCACAGTGGCGGTGCCCACATGCTTCCGCGCCACCCATTTCGGCACACCCCTCACACGTTTCGTGGCCCCATAGGGAGCTCCACCGAAGGACCCATTGGCCGTGCCCTCACGCGGCCGCCCCACATATGTCGGCACACCCCTTCAACGCTTCGTTGTCCCATAGGCAGCGCCACCGAAGGCCCCAGTGGTGGTGCCCACAAGCGTCCGCGCCACCCATTTCGGCACACCCCTCACACGCTTCGTGGCCCCATAGGGAGCTCCACCGAAGGACCCATTGGCCGTGCCCTCACGCGGCCGCGCCACATATGTCGGCACACCCCTTCAACGCTTCGTGGTCCCATAGGCAGCGCCACCGAAGGCCCCAGTGGTGGTGCCCACATGCGTCCGCGCCACCCATGTCGGCAAACCGCTCGCACGTTTCGTGGCCCCCTGGGGATCGCCACCGAGGAAGATGTTCACAATGCCGGTGCTCACGACTGCAGATGGCTTGGTCCGTCGCCAGGATAATTTCGCAATGTCGGGTCTCAGGGATATGTAGTGAAGACCCATGCCAAGAAACACCCTGCTTGCCTCCAGGGTGCCCTGGGTTTCTGGGTTTCGATGGTTCTGCCATGGAAAGCGCCACGTTACCACACCAAAAATCAATGGACGTCCTGGGCTCTCAGGGTTGGGTTTCTTGTGGAAGGTTTCTGGTGGACTGGCCTCCACTGTATACCATCCTGCCTTCGTCCTGCCTCTCTGCCCCCGGGCGACCCCGCCCCAGGAGCTCCTGTCCGTGACGGAGCCGGACCGGTGCAGCTACGAGGCTGCCTTGCCCCCCGGGGGTCGGGGCACGGCAGCTGCCAGCGGCTCTCCTCCTCCTCCTCCTCCTCATCCTCCTCCTCCTCATTCTCCTCATCCTCCTCCTCTTCCCTCCTCCCTCCCTCCTCCCTCCTTCCTCCTCCCTCCTCCCTGCTCCCTCCTTCTCCTCCCTCCTCCCTCCTCCTCCTCCTCCTCCTCCTCTCCTCCTCCTCCTCTCCTTCTCCTCCTCCTCCTCCTCCTCCTCCTCCTCCTCCTCCTTTTTCCCCCTCCCCCTCCCCCTCCCCCTGTACCTCCCCCTCCCCCCTCGCCCTTCCCTTCCAGGCTTGGGCGAGCGGCCGCGGGAGAGCCTCGAGGGGCAAGGGGCGCGCCGCCGAGGGGTGCGGCTGGGCCGCGCCCAGGGAGGTCGAGCGCACCTCTGTGAGGAGGAGGAGGAGGAGGAGGAGGAGGAGGAGGAGGAGGAGGAGGAGGAGGAGGAGGAGGAGGAGGAGGAGGAGGGAGGAGGAGGAGGACGAGCTCTGACGATCTCAGGAGGAGGAGAAGCTCGACAGTTTCCCTAAGAAAGAGGAGGGAGGAGGGAGGGAGGAGGGAGGAGGGAAAAGAGGGAGGAGGGAGGAGGGAAGGAGGGAGGGAAAGGGATGGATGGATGGATGGATGGATGGATGGATGGAGGGAGGGAGGGAGGGAGAGGGAGGCAGGGAGGGAGGAGGGGAGGAGGAGGAGGAGGAGGAGGAGGAGGAGGAGGAGGGGAGGGGGAGGAGGAGGGAGGAGAGAGGATGGGGAGGAGGGAGGAGGGATGAGGGAGGAGGGAGGAGGGAGGAGGAGGGAGGGAGGGAGGGAGGGAGGGAGGGAGGGAGGGAGGGAGGGAGGAGGAGGAGGAGGAGGAGGAGGAGGAGGAGGGAGGCGGAGGAGCCCTCCCTCGCTTCCTGGGAGGGCCGGGAGAGCCCTCGGAGATCCGCGCGGAGTTCTGGGGTCGGCGTTCCCCCCCCTATCACCCTGACTTTCCGGGAGGGCTAAACAATAGCACCAGGACCTCGACGTCTAAATCCCCTGTCGAGGTCTTAGGCAGTCCAGACAGGTCTGTGGGTCTGGAGGGCTGCTCTTCAGCACTCGGGAAAGCTCTGGGAGCCCCCTTGCACGCCCCGGGCGCGCCAGGCCCAGGGGTGCGCTCGAGAGCACCCGTCCCTTCTCATCCTGCGGATGCCGTGGGGGAGAAGGACCGCTGGCAGGTGCGGGGGGAGCATGGCCACATTTTCGTCAGCACATCATGGGAGCCTTGCATCTTTCATGTCCTCGCAGTTCGCCCTGTAGAGTGCATCCGAGTGCGCTCGCGTGTGGTGATCGATGATCTGGCGCCGATTCGGCGCCGATGTAGCGTTGATTTAGCGTCGATTAGGGCCGGTTACATCGATTAGCGTCGATCAGCGCCGATGTCGCAGGAGCCAACAAGACTGTGTGGGCGGCTCCCATGAGTTGCCACCGAACACATCTGTGGCATCGCGGCCCAGGACTTTCTCGTGTGAGGATCCCCGCGCTCGAGGCGTCGGGGTGTCTCAGGAACCGGCCGCAGCCGCGCGACACGAAGCGGTGCTTGATGCGAGCATGCGGAGGCAGGTTGTACGCTCCGCACAGGGGCGACGGCGACGACGCCGCGGCCCCAAGGATGCAGGGGCGGCGTTGCGCAGGTGCCCCCGCGCGGGTCGCGCCCGCGTGGCCGCGCATCCACGGGGCCGCGCCGCGGCGACCAGGACGCGAGGGCGCGGGTACTGGTGCGCTCGTGAGGGGGGGGGGAGGGAAGAGGCCCCAGCTGGTCCAGGGGAGCTCTGCTCCGAGATGTCTCACACCACCTCCACCGCTCCCTCTCCTCGTCGCGGTCACCTCCCCCCACGCCCCAAGGGGGATCGCCCAATCCCCCCCCCACCCGCGCCCCTCTATTCTATCTGTCCCCCTCTCCCTCCAGCTGAGGTGGGCCTTCAGACCCTGACGTCGCGGCGGATATCTTTTGTTTTGTAATCTTCATCTGGAGACCGCTTCCCGTCCCTAGGGCCGTCGAGAAACGACACAGGATGAAACGCCACCACCAGGGAAAGGGTCGAGATCCCTGGGGGGGTCGCGCCACGGACATGTGGCGACGTTGGTGGTGAGAGAAGGACGTGGGATGATCAGTGGGTGTCCGTTTTTCCTTCCCTCCCCTCGCCTTCCAGACATCCCATCCCGTCCTTTCGCCCCCCGCCCCTTACAAATAATCTGCAAGTTTCAAAGAGATCTTCCTTCCTCTACCCTGCCGCATCCCCTTTTTTCCTCCCTTCCCTGCTGATGCGAGTTCCTCCACATAGAGGTTCTGTTTGGTATGCCCTCTTCGCCTAGCTGAACAAGGAACTGTTCCCTCCAAACATGCGCATGAAGGGGCTCACCATACCGAGTTTGTCAGCAGTTCATCCATCTGAGCGACCGATCCCAATATTATTCCAACACATGCCTTGAGTACGGCTTACTTACATACAAGGATACGCCTTCTGTGGTGTATGCCCATCTGGCGCATTTTCTTGCTGTTATGCTGGTTTTAGGGGGTCCTTCTCTCTGTGTTATACATATGTGTTTTTGTTTGTGTTCTCTCTCTCTCTCTCCTTCTCTCTCCCTCTCTCCCTCTTGTTTGTTGTGTTTGTTCCTTATCGATCTGTCTTTACACCACATATATAGACATGCCAGCCGTCTGCCTACAGGAGGCTTTTTGCTCGTTGAGGCTGGATCAGGCTCGTGCATCGGCCATCTTACTTTTTCTGACGGGTCGTGGGCAGAACCTTCTTTGGGGATTCAACGCGCACCAGGCCTTGGCAGGCTGCGCAAACGGGGCTCAGCCAGAGCGCTAGATCCTGCTGGATCATGCGCAGCCGGAGTTGGGCTGAGTAGGGTTTGGGAGCCTCTCGCGGCCAGTGCCAGTGAGGCGGCTTTAAATCTTCGTTGAGCCAGGTTGGGAAGCCCCCCACAGAATTGCAGGATATTGTTCTGAATTGGTCGAGCTGGGTTTAATCTGAGCCTGGTTAATCCAAGCTTGAGCCACGGGATCCTTCCTGGGCAGTTTTATCACCTCGTCAGCAGCATTGAGTTACCCAGCCTCGTCGGTGCGCATTGAGTTACCCAGCCTGCCAGCCGCCAGCGTGTAATCGACTCTTGCGCATGATGAAACAAATATGGAGCTCATCCGAGCAGGCTCGAACAGGATTGCAATGAACATGACAGGGAGGATGGAGAAGGACGTGGAGTAGGAGAAGGAGTAGGAGTAGGAGTCAAGCTAGCCAGCTCGAGCGAGTCAAGCATGGCATGCCCAGTCCCACCCGCCCTCCCACAACATAAGAAGCAAAGCTGGCACAACTGGGGGCCGAAGTCACACCGGCCAGCCGGTTTGGTACAGCTGATGCGGCCGCGATGGCGGTTGCCGACGGGAACTGGCGAGCGCGTGTTGAATGCCGCGCACGCATTGCCAGACGAGTCGAGAATGGCCCGGTACACCGCAGGAAGCCAGAGGTGGCCGTGTCGAGAACGGCCCTAAGCCGGGTCCCATTCCTGCCATGCATTTTGCGACGTGGACGACAGGACGTCCATGCGACGGTGCCAATGACGGCGACGACTCTAGAAGGATTTGAGCATGCGCTCGCGGCGACGCGCGCGCATGTCGCCCGCGTGGTATTTTTTGCACAGGATTCGCGGCCTGGGTGCATGACAGAGCATCGCGAGTGCACCGCGCGATGACGTGAAATCGCTGGATTTGACGAATTCTTAAGATTCCTATGGTTTTCCTATGATTTCAGCAAGAGAGCCCGGGCAGGAAATTTGTACAATTTTTGTGAAAAAGCATTGGGTTTTTGATGTTTTTATGTTGAAATGCTTGCAAACACACGGTGTTCGGTAGGATTCTGACATGAACGCGCGCGTGTGCTCTTTGTGGTATTTTTTGCAATGGATTATCGCCGTGGACGACAGGACGTCCATGTCGAGAGGAAAAAATAAGACAAATGTTGATTTTGTGTTGTTTTTTACAGGTTAGGATGGGACCACCCGGATGGGGCCCCTATCTGCCGGCCTGAGGGGGGAGTAGGAGTATATTCTAATAAGGAATAAGGATAAGAGGAGACGGAGGAGGAGGAGGAGGAGGGATGATAGGGAGAGGAGGGAGGAAGAGTGGGAGGAGGGGAGGTTGAGGGGGGGTCGTCGTCGTCGTCGTCGTCGTCGTCGTCGTCGTCGTCGTCGGAGGAGGAGGAGGAGGAGGAGTAGGAGGAGGAGTAGGAGGAGTAGGAGGAGGAGGAGGAGGATGAGGAGGATGAGGAGGTAGGAGGGTGGGGGAGGAGGAGAACGAAGAAGGAGGAGGGGGAGGAGGAGGAGGAGGAGGAGGAGGAGGAAGAGGAGGAGGAGGAGGGAGGAGGAGGAGGAGGAGGATGAGGCATGAGGATTGATGGAGGGGGGGAGGATGGAGGAGGAGTGAGGCGGAGGATGAGGATGAGGTAGATGAGGAGGAGGAGGAGAAGGAGGAGGAGGAGGACGAGGAGGAGGAGGAGGAGGACGAGGAGGAGGAGGAGGAGGAAGAGGAGAGAGGTGAATCTGCAACATGACTAACAGGAAAATGAGGAGAAGGTGGAGGCGGATGAGGAGGATCGAGAGGAGAAAGGTGAGGAAAAGCCCCCACCTGGCAGGCTCGGCTGGGGCACCCCGCCGCGTGCACGCAGGAGGGCCTGGGGCTTCTGCAGGCCCGGGGGGGTGGTCTGTGCGATGTGGAGTCTCAGACAAGCGTCAACCCGACTCTAGCAAGAACTTAGCGCCCGAGGCTCGCGCAGGAGAGCAACCCGAACGAGGTCCAAACTGTGGCCGAACGCTGGCCTGGTACTGGCGAAAGAGTACCCAGATCCTGGGGGGCGCAATCGCCACAGGGGCCTGTGCGAAGAGGTCGCCGGTGGGCGGATCCCGAGGGGGACGCGGTCTCTCCCTGATTTCAAGCTCCCCGGGCCCTCGACGGGCCTCGTGACTGTCAAGTCGGGTGTTGCGCGCGCGGCATCCGCCAAAAAGCGCCCCGTATCCGCGGGGGCGCGGTCCAGGGGCCCTGCCCGCGAGGCCGTGGATACGGAAAGGCTTTTCGCCCACGACGGGCGATGCTTATAGGCTGCTGCTCGCTTCCAAGAAGCGCTGCCGCTTCCCCTGCCGGTGCTGCCAGACGTGCCCCCGGCCCAAGGTGCCCCCCTGGATTTCCGAGGTGGCCCCACGGCTTCCAGAGCACTCGTGGGCGGACAGAACCCCCAACATTGACACGTCGATTAGTGAATTGTCCGTTTTCGGTTCTCCAGAGGGCGCCGTGGCCGTTATTTTCCAGGTTTGCGCCCGCCAGGTTTGGGCCTCAGGTCGTTTTCTCTAAACCACGTTTTACTAAAGGGGGGTCTGTCCATCCCCGGAGCACCCCTCACGAGGCCCAGAGAGCCCCAGGGGCTCCAGAATCGAGCGAAAGGCTGGAGACACCTTGGGGCAGGGGCACCTTTAGCAACCCCCGATCAAGTAACGGATCAGGCTGCAGAGCTGGTGCGGGGGGAAGCCGTTTGGTGGTCCTTCATGGGGCCCTCAGAGGGTGCCACAACTCCTTCGGTTTGGGCGAAGTCGTCCAGATTTCGCCGGATTTGGATGATATCTGGACGAAATCTAGACGAAGGATGAAGAGGGGTTCTCGGCTCTTGTGACGAAGCCTGGTCGAAACGACATTTTCGACATTTCGGGCGGCAGCGAATTCACAGAGGCTCCCGTGAAGTAAGGCTTGCCCAGAAGCCGCGGGGTTCAGCCCCCGCTTCCGTCCAGACCCGTCTCCGTCGTGCCGAGGAGAGCGATGCCGCGTCGGCCGAAGATCCCGTACGACCGAGGTGGGCTCGGGAAGAGGGGGGGCCAAGTGCCGGCATTGGCCCCAGTCCTTTTTGATCAAGCAGTGGCGACGCGTCCTGGCTCGCCTATAGCGCCACCAAACAATGTTCTAAGAACCTTTTGTGGTTCCCACGAAATGTTCTTAGAACATTTCTGCCTGGGACTGTCTTGTTTCAACACATCGGGTTTACGCTTTAGGAACATTGTTTTTGCTCTTAGAACAGTTTTGGGTTCTAAGAACATTTCGTGGTAGGACTATAGATAGAAATGCGGGACGGTCGGTCCCTGCTCAATTTGAGCAGGCAAGGTCGCCTGCCCAGCAGCGGCCGCTGTCGCATTGGGAGGGTGGCTGCTGCTGGGTATCGTTCCAGGTCTTCTCCCCGTGCCCGTTCTGGGCGTTCCAGGGCACGAGGGTCTGTGGCCCAGGCTCCTCCAGGAGGGCCGGCGGAAGCAGCGCCAGGACTTCGGAGTCTGTGAGGTCCAGTCGAGGCTGCAGGTCGTCTGCCGTCCTGGTGGGTCTATCGGTCTGGAGGGCTGGCTTTTAGCACCTGGGAGGTCAGGGGTGGAAAGGGGGGTGATCCGAGGGGACGCGGGGATGAGTGGAGGGTGGGTGGGTCTGCAAGGGCGCCCTCGGGGGCGCCCTCGTTGGCGAAGCTGGATCCGCCTTGAAAACGAGCACGCTGGCAGCGCATCACCGGCTACTCCTTCGGAGTGTGACGCACGTGTGGGCGAAGAGCCGACTGATTCATGCTCGGAGCGTCCTGGGTGCCTGTCGATGGGCGTCCAGGGGGGGTCTGTTGAGGGCACAGGTTTGTGTTTGGAGGCTGGGAGTCTGTGCAAGCTTTGGATGTTGAGTCCTCAGGCTTTGAACCGTCTTGGGGTGTCTGTTGAGGATGCAGGTTTATTGTGTTCGGTCCTCAGGAGGTTACGGTAGGTTCGGGTCGTGTCGACTGGCGGCGACCCCGCCAGCGGCGTTCAATGTTGAACGCCGCGGGCGACCCAGAATCGTTCGATGTGGAACGATTTGGACGTTTCGGAAACGGCCGATCGTTCGAGGTTGAACGATCCCCGCGGTGTCAGAAACCAACGCCGAAGTCAGCACGACACGAACCTGACGTACCATGCTGAGACTTTGCAGACGTCAGGATTCTGGAAGCCCCGTCGACTGATGGGTCCCAGTCGACCGCCGAGGGAGTCTCATAGAAGTGCTTGGGGCCTCTCGTGGGGCCGTATAGCGTCAAGCTGAGATCTTTCGGGGAAATCATCAGAGGGAAAGGCTTTCCAGGCTCTTTCTTTTGCTTGCGTACTCTGTCTGGTTCAGAGGTTCCCTTGGTGGAAGACTGAGGAGGAGCATGAGGAGGAGGAGGAGGAGGAGGAGGAGGAGGAGGAGGGGCATGCCAGCAAAGTTTCCTTCGTTTGGGTTGCTTGACGGTTACTCCGATGTATCGAGGAGGAGGAGGAGGAGGAGGAGGAGGAGGAAACGGACGAGGTGGATGACGACGATCAGGAGGATGTGGCGCGCCGCCCTGGGGCAGATGAGGCTGATGAGGAGGATGACGAGGAAGTGGCGGAGGAGGAGGGTTTGGGTGACCATGACGCTGATGTTGATGAGGAGGAGGATTGATGAAAGAAGGAGGAGCATGCCAGATAAGTATCCTTGGCTAGGAACTCTTGAAGGCTTCTTCAAAATATCCAGTGGCTTTCGGCGTGGGTCGTAGACGAAAGCCTCTTTGGGATGCTTCCTAGGGTTTCCTGGGAGGCTGTTCGGGAGTATTGTGGAGGGGTTATGTGTGGCCTCCGGAGCGTCCTGGGGCCTCGTGTGGGTATCTTAAGGGTATGGGCGGCAATATTTCGAGGACAGGCTCGCAATGCCCCCTTTCGTATTTTCTCGGGCCACTTCTGGATGCCTCTGGGGGGCCTCTTGGGGGCCTCTTGGGCGCGCCGTCCCGGGGGAAGGTGAGGAGGACGAAGGGAGGAGGAGGAGGAGGAGGAGGAGGAGGAGGAGGAGGAGGAGGAGGAGGAGGAGGAGGAGGAGGAGGAGGAGAATGACGTTGATGGGCATGACGCGGACGCTGATGAGGAAGGGGACAGGAGGAGGAGGAGGAGGAGGAGGAGGAGGAGGAGGGAGGAGGAGGAGGAGAGGAGGAGAGGACGCGGAGGAGGAGGACTTTGGGACTTTGGAGGATGATGAGGATGATGCTAAGGAGGAGGAGGAGGAGGAGGAGGAGGAGGAGGAGGAGGAGGAGGAGGAGGAGGAGGTGGAGGAGGAGGAGGAGGAGGAGGACGGGCAATGACGCGGACGCTGATGAAGAGGAAGGGGACATAGAGGAGGAGGAGGAGGAGGAGGAGGAGGAGGAGGAGGAGGAGGAGGAGAGGAGGAGGAGGGAGGGAGGAGGAGGAGGAGGAGGAGGAGGAGGAGGAGGAGGAGGAGGAGGAGGAGGAGGAGGAGGAGGAGGAGGAGGAGGAGGAGGAGGAGGAGGAGGAGGAGGAGGAGGAGGAGGAGGAGGAGGAGGAGGAGGAGGAGGAGGAGGAGGAGGAGGAGGAGGAGGAGGAGGAGGAGGAGGAGGAGGAGCAACATCGTCGTCGACGGTGTCTTCGCTATCGTCGCCTGCGTGCTGTTGCGTTGCTTCAGGGAGCCACGGCGGTCGACCTCCGGCAGAAATCTGAGGTCGTCGTGCTCGTGATCGTCGTCGTCGTCGTCGTCATCGTCGTCGTCGTGGTCGTACCCCCCCATCCAATCAGGAGGGGGGGGGCCCGAGGGACCCTGAGACCCATCCCATCTGGGGGGGGAGGGATCGTGGGCCCGGATCCCGGGATCACACACACACGTATATCTGTATATATGTATATATATATGTTTGTGTATCCATATCCACCGCCTACCGAGGACCCCGGAGATCGATCCCCCAGGCGATGGTTCTTCGAGATGGAGAACAGAGAATCAATGATACGCCGCCGTTGGTCGCCCGTCAACGTGTTCCTCCTTCGTTTTAGTCCGAACGCCTGTCATTTGTTCCCCACGGCGGCTTGTCATAGATATTGACTTTGCTCCCCCGACGAAGAAGCCCAGTCTGGAGTCCCCTCCCATGGCCCCACCCGGGAGGCCCCAGTGTACTCTCTCGTGCAGACCGCCACCCCCTCCTTGTATCACCCCGTGGTTGCTGAGGGGACAGAGGGGTCCCAAGTGGATGCCAATGTGTGTCCATGTCTGGGCGGCCGCGGCCGTGGGGTTGCATGTGCCCTGGGTGGCTTGTGGGGAGACTCCAGCCGGGGCGCCGAAGGAAGGAATCCGTCTCGTGGCGGAGGGGCTCGGTGCTCCCTCCTTGTATCGTTTCGCAGCGAACCGCAGGTTTCCCCCCAAGCCCCCGATGAGAACTCGAAGCTCTTACCTGATGGAAGACAGGGGACCTCGCTCCCCGTTGAGGGTCCCTTGGGCCGACGCCTCGACCGCCTCTGCCTCCGGCGAGCCGAGCGGGGAGCCCACCGTGCAGGCCGGCCCCCTCCCTCGCCGCTCCCTCGCCGGCTCCCCCTCGCCGGCTCCCTGACCAGGCCGGCCCCCTCTCTCGCCGGCTCCTCTGCGCCGCCAGGCTCCGGCGGGGAGCTCGGTGCGCATGCCGCGGGACGAGCTGTGAGGCCGCGGCGCGGGCCCCCCCGGCGGGGCTCCAGGCCTCCGGGGTGTGCCGCGCCTGCTCCCGCCCGGCGGGGGCGTCCAAGAGGGGGGGGGGGGGGCAGATCTCGTGGCCTCGGCCGTGAAAGTGGCCAGATGTCGTAGCTCCTCCTTCTTCGGCTTCTTCTTCTTCGTATTCTTATTATCGTCCTTGTTCCTCTTATTTCAATGTTTCTTCTTCTTTGTCCTCCTCTTGTACCTTTCTTATTCGCATCGTTGTTGTCATTCTTCTTCTTCTTCTTCTTCTTCTTCTTCTTCTTCTTCTTCTTCGTCATCTTCTCATTCCAGCACGTCCCCTGGCCCCCCCCCCGGCTGCTCACGTGCCTCGGGCCAGGACCGGGGGCCAATGTTGTGGCCACCGCCCCCCCCCCCGCGCGGGCACCGTGTGCCGTGCCAGCTCGTTTTGTCGGGGGCGGTGTGCAGACATCGCTTCCTCCCTCCTCCTCCTCCTCCTCCTCCTCCTCCTTGTCGTCCTCCTCCTCCTCCTCCTCCTCGTCCTCGTCCTCGTCCTCGTCCTCGTCCCCCTCCTCGTCCTCCTACTCGTCCTCCTCCTCCTCCTCCTCCTCCTCCTCGTGCTGGCCATTCTCGCCCTCCTCGTCCTGCGGGACCTCGAGCAAGGGCCCCTCTTGCCCCCAGGATTCGCGGGCCTCCCTCGTCCGCGCCGCACGCCCCCATCTTGGACGCCCCCGAGCCTGCCATCGCCACCTGCTCCACCGTCCCTCGACAGGAGAGGTCGGGGGGCACGGTCGTGGACGCAGGCCACGCGCCCATGCGCGGGCTCAGGCTCGGACCGGGGGTGTGCGAGCCTGGCAGCGGCAGAAGGTCGAGGCCTCCTCGATGGGGTCGGAGTAGATGGGGTCGGGGGATCGCGGATGCATCGCCGATGCGGCTCGATGTGGAGCCCGACTGGCTTCACGCCGACGTCGCCGATGCACAGCCCAGGTCGGCGATGCATCGCCGATGCGGCGCGATCCCCCAACCCCACCTACTCCGTCCCAATCTAGGAGACCTCTAAGAAGAGGAGACAGGGGGAATGTGATGGCGGAGGGGAGCCCCCTCGAGTCGTGAGAAATCGCGGCGGGAGGTTTCAGCCATTTTCGGCTTCTAGGGGCCCTAACACGGGCCCCGGGCCAGTCAGACAACGACCCGGGATGAAAAACTGGTCCCGAGGAAGGGGTGAGACCTCGGGCGGGAGGTATCACGACGTCGCGGGTCTGGGGGGGTAGGTAGTTTGATCGGATCGGACGGAAGGGGGCACATACATAGGCAAAGGGGTAGTTGCCAATCTGCTGCGTGCAGCTGGTCTTGGCCCCAGCACCAGAACATTTCGCTACGTGAGCTGATTCGCACCCCCCCCTCCACTTTTCTACCCTTCTTGCGTCCGATCTGGGTCGAGGATGTGGGGACGGGAATATACATGAGGACATAGAGGATTACAAGGACGGGAAGGAGTAGGAGGAGGAGGAAGAAGGAGAAGAAGCGGCGGCGGAGGAGGAGGAGGGCGGTGAAGAGGATGATGATGATGAGGCGGAGGAGGGCGAGGATGAGGCGGAGAGGATGCATGGCGAGGGCGACGCGGCAGGGGGCACGGGGCGGATGATGGCGAGGGGGAGGGGCCCCAGGTGGGGACAGGAGACCGAGGGCGAGGGCGAGAGGGACGAGGGCGAGAGCCAGGAGGGTGCGCGCGGCATCGCGGGGGCGGGGGGCCTGCTGGGCACCCCCCCCCGCCGTGCGCCGAGGGTCTGGCACGCGGCGAGCTTGCGCGGCGGCCGGGGCCGCGTCACGGCTCGGGCGCGCCTCTCCGGCACGGTGTGCCGCCCTCGCCTCGGGGCGCGGGGGACCCTCGGGGCCCCCTGGGGGCGCCTCGTTGCTTGGCGGCTCCTCAGAGCGCCCGCTCCTGGGCGTCGCTTCACCCACCTCCAGGGCTCCTTCTCGTCCTCCTCGCCATCGTCCTTCTCCTCGTCCTCGTCCTTTTCCTCGTCGTCCTTATCCTATCCTCCTCCCCCCCTCCTCCTCCTCCTCCTCCTCCTCCTCCTCCTCCTCCTTCTCCTCCTCCTCCTCCTCCTCCTCCTCCTCCTCCTCCTCCTCCTCCCGCCCCTCGCGCCACTCCTCCCCCGCGCGCTGCGCCCCAGCCCCCTCGGGCCACGGCACCTCGGCCTGCCTGCTGCAACCGCCCCCGTTGGGGAGGTGCCCCCCCGGGGCCCGAAGGGGAGCAGCCCGCAGCCCCGTGCTGGGAGGGGCGGCTCGGCCACATGGGCGGTGCTGGCCGATCTTCGGGCGCCCTCCTCTGGCGCGAGAGCTGGAGTATCAAACTTCACAGAGGGTGTTCACGATCTACGAGTCCACCGCACGGCTCCGTCCCCAGGGGAGGGCGCCGTCGCTCACCGGCGAGCTGTCTCCCCCCCTTCCCCGAACTCCACCCGAAAAGTCTCGCCGCTCCGAAGAAGGCAGGAGGAAGCCCTGGGACGCACCCCAAGGGGGCTATGCGGACGCACCTCGTGCCGAGGCTGGACGCCCCCCCCTATCGTGGACGGCGCTTGCTGCTGGGCATCGTGGCTGGCTCTTCCGTGCCCATTCCCGGCGCAGAATCGCAGACCTCCAACGTGCCGAGTTCTCCTGAAGTTTTCCGCTGCTGGCTGCTGGGGGCCCTCGCCAGCCCCCTGTGCCGCAGAACGGCTCGGGATGAACCGTTTGCCCCGGGCAACGGCTTGAAACTGCTGGGGTCCCCGTGTTCAACCAGGGAGTACCGGGCTTCTGGTGTCGCCGCCGACGTTGTCCATTTGAGACACGTGTCGCCTGCCCAATAGCGGTCGCTGTCAGTTTGGACAGCTCCCGCTGTGTGGCATCGTCTCCATGTTTTCCTCCATCCAGGCGTTCAAATAGGAGGAGGAGGAGGAGGAGGAGGAGGAGGAGGAGGAGGAGGAGGAGGAGGAGGAGGAGGAGGATAATATGCAGCAGGTGCATCAGCCCCCGTGCTCCTCGGACCCGCTTTCGCAACACGGAGGTGAACACGATAAGTCGTGTAGTCTATGACCCGGCCCGAGCCAGGACACATTTTGAAGCAGAGCCAGATGATATTCTGTTTGGTGGATGTGAATGTTGCCTAGTGGGTGGTGACTGAAGGGATGAGGAGGGGGAGGAGGAGGAGGAGGAGGAGGAGGAGGAGGAGGAGGACGAGGACGAGGACGAGTTTTTCAGCAGTTTCTCTTCTCACATGGTGAGGAGGAACAGGACGAGGAGGAATTGGAGGAGGAGGATGAGTCCGTAGCCCTGGCTCAAGCCATTTCCCCAAGGGGTTACACTAAAGGGGTTGAGGGCTCGAGAGCGGCGCAGCGCCAGGTTTCTGCCAGTCCACTTTCTTCACGGCTTTGCGCGGCCGCAGCTAGCATGACTGTACCTCCTGTCCAGGTTCGATGGGAGACAGAGGCAAAGGCAAGGCCCGCGGCGGCAAAGGCTCTTTTTGCAAGAAGGGAGTCTCGGGCAAAGGGGAGGCCACCGACGCCACGGCAAGTACCCACGCAGGCGTACGCATGGACATGTCGGAATTGTGCGGCCAGTGTAAATTCACGTCATCGGTGGTGCTGGCAGTGCGGACAGCACTGGGAGGAGCCTTCACGACAGCCAGACACACCATCGGAGTCGTCAGGCGCGAAGGAGAAGAACACCGTGCCGAAGGATAAGAAAACCAGGGCCACCCATCCAGAAGTTGCAAACCCCGTGGACCTCCTGAAGCGTCTGGGGTCGAGTGCACAAGGTACTGAACAGGCCCTGGCTGAGCAGGCTATGGCGCCCACGGGAGTTCTACTCGCCATGCTTCGTGAGGAGCGATATTCCGAGAAGACCGGCAGCCAGTGGACACCGGCAAATTTATCCAAGTTTTTCAGGGCTCAGCAGCAGATGGAGAAGCAAATGGAATATGTTACCAAACAGCGGCAGGTGCTGGACGACGTGGGCGTCAAGCGCGCGCTGGTGGAGGCGGACCTTCACGCCGCCAGGACTACGCACACCGAGATGGAGCTGAAGGTATACAACTTACTGGTGGAGCAGCAGACAGCGAGGATGGACCCGTACGTTGGCGACCCCCCTGGGCTTCAACCCAAGGGGGGCAAAAGGCGCATTGCTCCCAGCCGTGGCGATGAGCACTCCAATTCTTCACGCTTCGCGTATCCCCACCAGCCCATCTCAAAACAGCCACTCTAGCGAAGCATGCCGACAGTCGTGTTTTTCAGGCGTGTTTCCGCCTGCCCCCGAATATCTCCCCTGTTCCTCCTTCCTCCCGCCTCCTTGTACATCCTCCTTGTGGTGGGAGCGGGAGAAGGACGAGGCGGAGGAGGAGGGAGAGAAAACGCTCCTCGTGGTTTGAGTCGTTCGGGCTTCTTGTCCTGGTGTGAGTTGTTCGGGCCCTTCTTCCTGGTGTGAGTCGTTCGGGCTCTTCGTGGTGTGAGTCGTTCGGGCTCTTCGTCCTGGTGTGAGTCGTTCGGGCTTCTCGTGGTGTGAGTTGTTCGGGCCCCTCGTCCTGGTGTGAGTCGTTCGGGCCCCTCCTCCTGCCCGTCCAGAAACGACGCCCAGGCGAGTAGAGGGTCGTCCTCATGGGCTTTTCGGCGTCTTGGGTGTCTCGGGGGGGCCTCTTTGGGCCGTTTGGGATCCTCTTGGGGGCCTCCTGGGGGCCTCTTGGGGCCATCTTGGGGCCTCTTGGTGCCTCCTGGGCGTTTCTTGGGGCCATCTTGGAGGAAATCGATCAAAGAAGAGGGGAGCTTTAATTAGCGCTGCCCCCTCAGAAGGCCAACATGGGGCCAACACCTTAGTAAAATCAGTGATGTCGGCTTGAAAGAAGAGGGGAGCTTTAATTAGCGCTGGCCCCTCAGAAGGCCAAAATGGGGCCATAACCGTAGTAAAATCAATGATTTTGGCTTCAAAGATGAGGAGAGCATTTTTTCTCCCCCCCCCCCCCCGTCGGGGCCAGAATCCTCGTGAGGGGTGTCGTTTTTTAGCCCTCCCAGGAGTCGAAAACGACCCCTCTGACCACCCGCGGAACGCCCTCTCCAGGCCCAGGGGGAGGGGGTGGGGGGAGGGGTAAACCCCTCCCCGAAGGGGAAGAGGGGGGGTTGAGAACAGAGAGAGCTCGCTAAACCACTCACGCCCACAGGGCTGGTGGGATTACCTCACTCCAAGCATTTTTGAACAGCATGCGCTTTCTGCATCACGGTCTGTCAGACACGTTAGCAGAAAAGTTCCAAGCGCCCATGATGAAGTTATCCGTGCAGATTCGAGGCATCGCTGGTATTTCAGCTAAGCCCCAGCCAGCAGCAGGTCAAGCAGAAGTGCCACATCCTGGTCCTCATGAGGCAGCTCAGGCAGAGGCGCCCCCAGCAGCAGAGGAGCAACAGGAACAACCAGACGTCGAGATGGAGCAGGCCCGCTTGAGTCAGCGCAGGGTTGCGGAATCGGAAGCCGAGAACCCAGCGAAACGCAGGCATGAGGAATCGGAGGGGTCTCGCGTGAAGGGCGGGGCACCGCCCAGGCAGCCGCCTGGGTAACAGGCAGCGGGAGTATCCAAACGATGGCTCGCATGTCTTCGTAATCAGCGGCAGCAGGTGATACTCTCGAGAGTGAGGCCCGCATCGTACTTGCACGAGACACTAAACTACATGGTCAGGACATGGTTCAAAGAAAACTTCGAAAGTTGGGCTGGGAGTCGCATTGGGCACCCTGCCACATCGCCGTCGAGGGTGGGAAGAGCAGCGGGGCTGCAATTTTGGTCCGAGTCCATTTTGACGCATGGCGAGCGCCAGGTCACGATGACCCGCTCGTTCCGCATCCCTTGCTCCGCGTGGTTTCTTTTAGCAGCCGCGCGTCTCGCATCATCTCTACCTGCTGCGGGCGCTGGAAGGATTGAGAGGGGCTGGGGCCCATTATATGTGAAAGAAACAATCTGCTACGCATCGGGGGAGGGGATCATAACTTGGAGCCGGTGGTGTTCAAGGAAGGCTTCTCAACGCGCAAAACGGTCAGCTTGCGATGCCATCGCCGTCAGCTACGCGCGCGTCGGCAACGCCAGGCAGATGATACGACCACTGTCTACTAGCGAAGTTGTCACTTCCAGCAGTGGAGTCGGCGCGAGCCGACATGAATGCAGATTTCTTTCTGCGAAGCACGCGAGTTGGCGCGGGCCAGACCAAGGTCCGCCGTTGGAAGAAATTTTGCGAAGTTGCCATTGGAGCAGCCGATCGGGCCAAACCCAGAGCCCCCAGAGGACCAGGACTTGGAGGGCAGGCTCGCCGCGCTCATGCAGCCCCTGGAGATCCAAGAGGGCCGCCGCATGCCGCCCGCGGACGAGGTCCCGATTTTGCTGCAGGGCTTTGACGAGGCCTGCGAGCAGTGGCGCGCTGGGTGTCGGGGGGGGGGCTCCAAGGTGCCCCGCGGCGCTTTCCTCCCGGGCTCCAAGGGGGCCGTGCTTGCCAGACTCAATGGATTCCCGTGGGCGACCTCCTGTGCGCCAAGAGGTTCCCCGCCAGGAGCCCATATCGCGTTCTGCATTGGGTCCCCCGAAGAGCCCGGGAGTTGCTCGTCTTGGTCAGCAGTGGCAAGTATTTGAGATCTCCAGAATATTCCAGAAGCCTTGTCCGCTCCAGTCTGGGTGCCGTAAAATCTGGTGGCGCTTCGAGAGTCGCTATCCTGATGCTCGGCATCCCTGGCCAAGGTTGCCAGGCAATGTTTCGCGCCCGCTTCGGCTTCTAAGGCCCCTTCGATTCAGGAACTGTCTGCAGGAGGGCCCCGGGCAATCTACCCCTTATGTCAGGCTGCGGGGCATCCATCCCGAGAGTGACGCGCGCGCCCTGAAATGCAAGGACCGGTGCGCCGAGGCGCTGTCGGGCGGGGCCAAGCGGGCGCGCGCCTACGCGAAGGTCGCCGCCGACAGGCGTCAGGCGATGCTGCCGACTGACGACGGCAGCCGCGCATCTTGTCTCACCAGCCAGTGGAGGTTGGAGGCGGGGATATGGAGCGAGGCTTTTGGGGTGGGGTCAGAAGGAGTAGATCTCTACGGGGCTGTTGTCTGCAGATGTGAGTTTCCCGCCTTCGCCGACGCCAGAGCACGTCATCGAGTTGGGCAAGTCTTGCAAGCGCGCTACTATCGGAGCGGGCAGATCTCATCCTCCCTCGACGTGTCGCGCTCCTGTCGCGTCCAGCCTCGAGCGTTCTCGGCCTGGTCATTGGGCTCGTCGCGGTCCCGGGCTCGACCCCGAGCTGGATGGGGAAACGGGTGGTGGCCCTCTTCCAGGGGCCGATCAAAGGCCGGCGTCCGATTGGAATCTTCCAGAGCTTGATCCGCAAGACTTCTCGCTGGCACTCGGGGGACTGCCGAAACTGGGAAAAGAAAATCTCCGACCTGGGGATTTTTTCGATGACGCCTGGGAGGGGGCCCTCAGACACCGCGTGGAAGGCGCGAGAATATGCGCGCGTTGCATATGGGCGTCGCGCGCGCAACGTTCGGCGATGTTTGACAATTCTACGAACGCGCACGGCGCGTTCCTTTGATCATGGCGGCTCGCGAATCGCCATATCCTTTACGCGCGCTACGGTTCACGCTGCTCATGCATGCGTGGGAGACGATATTGAGCTTGGAAGGGATTGTTTCCCGATGGGGTGGGGCCTGAGCATGGGGTCGTGGTGGGCAGCAGCGCGGTTACGCATGCTATTTGTGTCATTGCATGCGCGCGGTCGACACGTGCCCAGAACGAGGTTTCACGCTCACAGTAGCCGTGCACATCGACGATTTCGGTCTGAACGAATACAGCGCTTCGTTCGGCGGCTGCGCGTGCAACGTGGCGCTGGCCATGGCTTTTTCTGGTGGGCAGCTTCCGGCGAAGTTCAACCTCCGCTTCGCATGTAACACGTGTGCCATCGCGGGATCCAGCCGCGCGTTGGTCGAGTTGGCGCAACAGCAGTTGGGCCAGCATGCTTGGTAGTTTAACCAAACGCCCATCATTCTTCGAGTAGGCTTTGCCCCTGGCAAGAACAAGAAAGTGTCCAACGCCAAGGATGCACGAAATATGAGGTTGGGGAAGGGGCAACGGAGGTTGGAAAACATTCGGAGTCTGGGAACCCCCAGGAGGTTCAAAGCTAAAATCTGGCGCTGCGGGGTCAAACACGCCGCGGCGCATGGAGGGGGAGCGGTGGGTTGGAGCCCCGGAGAGGTCCGAACATTGAGGTATCAGGCAGCTGGTTCTTGTAGGCCTCGCGACCTGCGGGGCCGACCTCAACTTGGCTTTCGCGCTCGAGCCAAGCAGGGGCCTGATCAAGCACGCCGGCGCGGCCTTGACCCGCTTTGCACGCGAGTTGTAGTTATCCACCGCTGACAAAATCTGACCTGGGGACTGTATTTCGGTGGGCGAACTCTGCGAGCTAACTGGGGTGGCGAAGTAAGATCAACTTCTTCGCCCAAAAGCATCTTGGGATACTCTGTCTTTGGGTCCTGCGGGCGATATGCTCTCTGGGTTGAAAGTGCGGGCTGGTCAGTTCGAGGCCCAGGGCTTTCTAATGTGAGAGATGGCTCTCCATGCGCGCTCTCGGACGTGCCCTACTTTGCGAGGGGCCTGGTTAATGAGTGCGCATCACAGGCCACGCAGAGGACGTTGGAAGATCGCGAACACGAGCGTGCCCATAATATTTTGGACGTGGACCTCTGGATTCATCCCCCGAGGGCCTTCTAGAATTCCAAGCGTCCGAAGCTTTTGAAACGTGCGATGCAGCAAGTGTTCGCTCGGTCTTATATTACTGCAAACCACCTGCGGCGCCGCTCTGCCCTTTTTGCCGCTCGGGTGCGGGAGGTGCCATGGGCAGCGTCTGGCGCAGATGCATCCAGTGTCCAGGACTTGCTGATAAGCGAGCAGGTCGCGTGCCGCCCCGATGGGCACAAGCAGGACTCGAGGCCGGCGACCAAGAGTCCTTTTTCAACAGTTTATGGCTCTCCATCCCCGCTGGCATTCACGAGGCCTCCGGGACTGGGAAAATCAGCAACGTCGGGCCTGAGGGGCCCATATCACATGTCACGTTTAACCTGAACAAGTATATGTGCAGTGATGGGTCCGGGTTCCCATAGATTTTGCGTCTGTCGGGCGGAGGAAGGTGGTGTATTTTTGGTTTTGTGTTTAGAGTGCGGGGCCCACGCTTCCGGTCTCCCCCGAATGCTGGCGGGCCCCTGCGACCAAGTTTTCGACGAACAGCGCGCGCAACTGCTGAAAGGGGGGTGCCCATGGCCCAATGGCTTGCGCCTCTCTAAGATTTGGCCCTTGACCAGCCCAGCAGATGACACTGAGGCGGCCGAGTGGTGAGCTTGTTGTTTGTTTATCCCACCCCCTCGGTCCGAGGTCGGCCATGAGGATCGCCCCGCCTGCCCCTGCGGTGCAGTGGTTTAAGGGCAGCCAGGCACCTGGGCCTCCTTCCTTCGCCAATAAGGCGGCCCTGGCCTTCGGGTTCCGTCCTAATGGTGCGGGGGGTGGGTGGTCGATTGTGTTTTGGGGCCCCTCTGTGTAGCCCTTTCGATAATAGATTGGTGGAGGCCGAGTGAGAGCCATTGGAAAAAAGGAGTAGGAGGAGGAGGGGGGAGGGAGAGGAGGAGGGGGGAATTCGAAAAGGAAAAGGTGGATGAGGAACATGGTCGGGTAGGATGGTCGACGAGGAGGAGGAGGAGGGAGGAGGAGGAGGAGGAGGAGGAGGAGGAGGAGGAGGAGGGAGGAGGGGGAGTAAGGGGAGGAGGGAGGAGGAGGAGGGAGGAGGAGGAGGAGGAGGAAGGAGGAGGAGGAGGAGGAGGAGGAAGAGGAAGAGGAGCATTAATAATAATAATAGTAGTAATAATAATATCAATCATATTATTAATATTAATAATATTATTACTAATAATCATACGAATAAGAAGAATAAGAATAAGACAAATAAACATACTAGTAATAACAATACTAATAATACGAAGAAGAATATGACGAACCATACTATTAATACTAATAGTACGAATAATAATATTAATAATGCTATCAATAATAATACTAATAATACTAAGAATACTAACCATACTAATAATAATAAGAATAATAATAATGCTAATGCTAGTAATAATAATAATAGTAGTATTAATAATACTCATAATAATAATATTTTAATACTAATAATAATAATCATAATATTCATAATAATAATAACAATAACAATAGTACCAGTACTATTAGTAATAATAATAATACTGATAATGCTAATGATAATAATAATAATAGTAATAATCATAATATTAATAATTCTAATAATAAGAATAATACTAATACTAATAATGATATTAATAATAATATTAATAATAATAATAATAATGATGATCATAATAATAATAATGCTGATCATAATAATAACCGTACTACTAATAATACTAATGATAATAATAATAGTAATAATAATAATAATGATAATGATAATGATGATAATAATAATACTCATAATACTAATAATAGTAAGAATAATAATAATGATGATAATAATACTGATAATAATAATACTAATACTAAATTTGAGAGGAGGAGGAGGAGGAGGAGGAGGAGGAGGAGGAGGAGGAGGAGGAGGAGGAGGAGGAGGAGGAGGAGGAGGAGGAGGAGAGCGAGGAGGAGGAGGAGGTGGAGGAGGATCGGGCGGGCCGAAGGGGCGGGCGCAACAAGCCAGGAGGCGGCGGCGCCGCCGATCCCCTGGGCCGCCGAGCTGGAGGCGAAGGCCGGGGGCAGCGGCCGCCCGCGGCCCGGTCGGCGCGGCTTCGCCGCAGCCGGCTGCCCTCGCCGGGATCGGTCGCATCAGTTGTTGCGTCGCTGCTGCGTGGCACGGTCGAGGTGGGCACAGAAAGAAAGTGTACGGTCGGGCCGAGGTCTTTGGGCGCGCTATTGGGCGCCAAATGGACGAAAAGCTTCTGCGAGTTGCTTCGAAAGAGCGCCTGCCCATTTTGAACAGGACTTGCTGTCGGTGCCGCCTCGGGCGTGATCCTCCTGAGGCAAGAGGTCGCCTGCCTCACAGCGGCCACTGCCAGTTCTGGACAGCACTTGCCGTTGGGCATCGTGCCCAGTTTCTCAGCAGCCCATGCTGGCGTCCAGAGCTGTGGCGGTGCGTCATTCTCGGCCCGTCCTGGTCGGCCCTGAGCTCTGAGTTCGCGAACAGAGCGTGCAGCACCGTTGAACCTCACGGCTGGAGCCCGAGAGCCCCTCTCTCTTCGGTATTCTTCGAGCTGGACCGATCCGTGGGGGCCACGGGCCCAGCGTTAGGCGAAATCGCCCGGCGCGCAAACCACGCAACGAATGGATCCCAGGGACCTCGTTTTGGTCGGTTTCGATGGTGTTGTCGGCTCGGTGTCTTTCTGGCTTTGCCGCCGCCGTGGATGGCCCTGGAGGGCACCAAACACGTTCAGCACATCGGATCTAGGTTACCCCCCCAGGTATGCCGAGCGCACGTTCGGGCTCCTTGGGTGCCATTTGGGCCTCAAGATGCTTCCAACGTGGCCCAGGGGCCGCCAGGGGGCCTTGCAGGGCCGCTTCCGATCCGATTCGATGCAATTCGATTCGCCAGTTGAGGCCGCGATTCCGATTCGATTCCAGTTGGTTCACAGGGATCGGCCGGGGCCAGCCAGAGTCAGGCGCGGCGATGCGACTTCGATTCGGTTCGGGAGGATTCGTTGGCGATCCGATCCGATTTCACGATTCGATCCAACCCAAGCCTGACTTGCGAAATCGACGTGCGAGGCTTTTGGAAAGATGCCCCGCGCGAGAGCGGCGAGTGCTGTAGAGACGCCCGGCCTCTCCTGGACATTTCAAGGCCTCGAGGGCTGCCAGAGCGCTGGTGGAGATGCTGGTGGCGGTGGCGGAGACGACCGGCGTTGGCGAATGTGACGGCGATGGCGACGGTGAAGGCGACGGCGGCGAGGGAGGAGGAGGAGGAGGAGGAGGCGGAGGACCAGGAGGAGGAGGACGAGGAGGAAGAGGAGGAGGAGGAGGAGGAGGAGGAGGAGGAGGAGGAGGAGGAGGAGGAGGAAGAGGAGGAAATATATAGTAATGGGAGATGCGAGAGCCTCTCCCTCCCCTCCTCATGCCATATATGTGTGTGTATATATATATATATATGTATGTACATATCCTCCTCCCTCCCTCACTCCCTCCCTCCCCTCTCCCTTTTCCCTCCTCCTCCCTCCCTCCCTCTTCCCTCCCCCTCCCATCCTCCCTCCGTCTCTCGACTTCCTCCTTCCTCTGTTTTTGCCTCTGCTGGCTTCCCCCCTTCTCTCGCCCGTAGCGCTGCCCGCTTATGCCGGGGAGGCCTGTAGTTTCGAAGCTATGTAGGCCGCGCTCCGGGCAATGCCCCTCGATCTTCGAGTATAGCTCTGTCCTAGAGCACCTTACAAGCTTTGACAAAGACACCAGCTCCAGAGGGGTCCGTCCGTCCATTGTCCTCCCCCCTCTCCTCCTCCCGCCCTCCCTCCTCCCTCCCTCATCCCTCCCTCCTCCCTTTCCTCCTCCCTCCCTCCTCCCTCACTCATCATACCATACATCTCCTCCTCCTCCTCCCTCCCTCCCTCCTTGGATCGGTGGGGGGGAGGTTTGTGCCATGTGCGCCATGAGTGATGTGCCCCGCGATCTGCGCTTGAAGTGCCACCAGTCCCGGTTTCAAGGAGGCCAGGCCCGTGCGGTGTTCGAGGCGGACCCCCAAGCCATATTCCCAACGCCCGGGGGCCTCCCTGTGTGATGGGGGTGGGGACCCATTCGGGTGCCCCTGGGGCGAGGGAGGGGGAGGAGGGAGGGAGGGAGGGAAGCAGGGAGGAGGAAAAGGAGGAGAAACAAAAAGGAGGAGGCGAAGGAGAAGGAGGAGGAGGCGAAGGAGGAGGAGAAGGAGGAGGAGGAGGAGGAGGAGCAGGAGTAGGAGGAGGAGGAGGAGGAGGAGGAGGAGGAGGAGGAGGAGGAGGAAGAGAACGAGGAGGAGGAGGAGGGAGGAGGAGGAGGAGGAGGAGGAGGAGGAGGAGGATGGGGAGCAGGCAGGAGCAGGCAGGAGCAGGCAGGAGCAGGCAGGAGCAGGCAGGAGCAGGCAGGAGCAGGCAGGAGCAGGCAGGAGCAGGCAGGAGGGCGGCGGCGGACGAGACGGTGGCGGCCGCCGGGCCGGCCGCGCCCGCGAGGTGCTCGCCGCCGTACGCGCCGACCCCGCTGGGGCGCTGCCGCTGCTGCTGGCCGAGCGGGAGCGCGCCTCGCAGGCGGCAGGGCGCGGGCGTCGCCGCTCGGGTCGGCCACAGTTCCGTCTTGGCATCGCTCGGACATGTGCATGTTTCCTTCGGCGAGGGCCATCGAGGAGCATCCTTGATCATTTGGCGAAAGAACCACGCACGAAACCGAAACTATCACAGGGAATGGGCGTCCGAGCGATGGGGAGCTGTCGGGCGTGTCGCTTGATTGGACTTGAGAGTCCGGCGGAAGCGCTCTCATCGAGGGCGGGTCCGCGGGAGACGCGCCGCGCCCAAGCAGAGGCGGCGACAGCACGGCCACGCAGCCTGATGTAGTCCCAGAGCGGACACTGGCCTCCAGCTGGTTCCATCAGCATCATCATCAGCATCATCATCATCATCATCATCATCATCATCATCATCATCGTCATCGTCATCGTCATCGTCATCGTCATCGTCATCGTCATCGTCATCGTCATCGTCATCATCGTCATCATCGTCATCACCATCATCAGCATCATCAGCATCATCATCATCATCCTCATCATCCTCATCATCATCAACATCATCATCATCATCATCATCATCATCATCATCATCATCATCATCATCATCATCTGTCGGGCGTGCCCCTCTGTAGGATTAATATTCAAAGTAGTTAAAAGTGATATGGGAACGATTATTTGACTATGTTTGTCTACTTCTGGGTCTTGCTTGACATGTCTTATGTTCCTTCAAGATCTAAGGCTACAGTGGAGATCTGAGGCTACAGTGGAGACCCATGCCACGAAAACACCCTGCTTGCCTCCAGGGTGCCCTGCGTCTTCTTGGGTGCCGACGGTCTTGCTATGGAAGGCGCAGCGTGCCCACACCAACAACATCAGTGAGCGTCCTGGGGTCTCAGGGTTGGGTTTCTTGTGGAATGTTTCTTGTGGTCGAGCCCCTACTGTTAGAGGAGGTTTTGGGCGCCCGTGGGCGTCTCGTCTTGGGGAGCCCTGGGAGGATCAGGGGGGGGTCCAGCGAGGCCCGCTTCCTGGAGGAGCTGGCTACCCCCGCAGCGGTGACCCCCCTGGCGTTGCCTGGGGGGGGGGGGTGGGGCTGACGGCCGCTGGCGGGAGAGAGGGCCTCGCAGGTCCCAAGTCGGCCACACGCAAAAGCGACCTTTCGCCGGAGTGGCCTTTTGGTGCGGGCCCACCGGGGCCCCCCGCACGCTGAGTGCGACGCGGCAGCGGCGGCCCGCGCGCGTGGATCTGAGCCCTCTCGCGCCCCCAGAAGCTGCGCACCCGAGGGCGCACGTGCCGTGGGTCACTCTCGGACGTCCAGCCGATCGGAGATGGGGTCCGAGACCTCCGACGGCACGGGCGGGCCGCTGAGTTGAGGACCGCTTTGGGCTCTGGAGGGGCTGTGTGTTTTGCGGGTCGTTCTTCAGATCGATCTGTTCGTGGCCGGGGCTGGAAGTGGCCCGAAGAGCCCCTTCGTTGCTTATTCAGCGTTCCGTGTGGTAGCATGATGACGGTGTAACTGTTCCTCCAGCCAACGGTTTTTCATCGGTTTCGGCCTCTGGGACCCGTTTCTGGGCCCGGGGACCAACAGGAAAAGATTTGGGGCGAAAAACTACCCCATGGGGAAGGGGTCGGGACCTCTTGGGCCGCAGACTCGAGAATCACGTCGGGTTGCCAAAGTCCAGGCCTTCCAAACGGGGTCCGAGTAGATGGTGGTGATGGATCGCGCCGCATCGCCGATGCATCGGGCATAAAACTTGATGTGGAGCCCGATGTTCTTCACGCCGGCGTCGCCGATGCACCGCTGGCATCGCCGATGCAACTCTGATGCACCGCCGATGCATTGTCAGCCACGTGCAGAGGGGTGCGGGCGGAGGGGTGAGGGCTTCTCAGAAACACCCCTGCTTAGACGGCGCGGGCCTAATCTATAGATGTAGGGCTGGCGCCTTCTAGGAGGCAGCCTCCTACGAAGCCCTCGCCCCTCCTTCCACACCCTTGCGCGGCTCGCCAACACTGGCGAGATACGGCGCGATCCTCAAACCCCGTCTGCTGGGGCCCCATCCGGAAGGCTCCTCATGCGGGCCCGCGTCGCCACGGCCTGACTCTCCTCGAAGCTCTGCTCAGAACGCACCGCAGCAGAGAGGCCTGGGGAGCAGCGATATCCGTACCTGTGGGTGTGCCCAGCCGCCGTGCGCCGTCGTCGTCGTCGTCGTCGTCGTCGTCGTCGTCGTCGTCGTCGTCGTCGTCGTCGTCTCCGTCGTCGTCGACCGCTCCATTGTCGGCGTCGTGGGTGCCATCGTCGGTGCCCTCCCGCGGAGCGGGCCCAGGCCGCGAAGACGTCGCTCTGCGCGCGTCGCGTCCTGGGCCGTAATTTGAGTTTTCCCTCGACAGGCGACGGCGCGAGAGCGCGAAGGCAACCAAAGATCGCGCATCACGAGGCGCAATGGGCGTGAATTGGGTCATCCAGGAAGGTCGTCTCCTCGTGCGGTGGATGTGTATAAGTCCTTGCCTCGCAGAGGGAGGCGCGAGGACGGATGAGGGAGGAGGAGACGGAAGAGACGAGGGAGGAGGAGGACAGGAGGACAGACTCAACGAGCATCCCGCGAATGTCTGCGCAACGAAACAGGACGATGAGGAGGCGGACGAGGACGAAGACGAGGACGAGGAGGAAGAGGAGCATGAAGAGGAGGAACATGAGGATGAGGATCAGGATCAGGATGCGGATGCTGGAGATGATGACGACGACGACCACGATGGTGGTGGTGGTGATGATGATGACGACGATGACGATGACGATCACGATGCTGATGATGCTGCTGATGATCATGATGCTGATGGCGATACTGATACTTATCCTGGTAATGATGATGGTGTTGATGGTGATGCTACTGATGATAATGATGCTGATGAGGATGAGGTGGAGGATGAGGTGGAGGAGACGGAGGAGGATGAGGACGGTGACGATGATGATGACGAGGATGATTGATGATTATGATGATAGTGAGGTTGATGATGATGATTGTGATGGTGCTGATGGTGATGATGATGATGCTGACAATGATGATGACGACGATGATGATGAGGACGATGATGCTACTGCTGATGCTGATGGCGTTGATGACGAGGATGACGATGCTGATGATTCTGATGATGTAGATGATGCTTCGACGATGATGATGCTGATGATGACGATGACGATGATGATGATGATGATGATGATGATGATGATGATGATGATGATGATGATGATGGTGGTGGTGGGTGTTGACGATGATGGTGGTACGGATGTTGCTGATGATGAGGAGGTGGAAGACGATGATGATGATGATGGTGATGATGCTGATGGTGCTGATGATGCTGATGACGATTCTGCTGATGATGATGACGCTGATGAAGATTTTAACGATGGCTATGCGTGTGAGGAGTAGGTTATTGATGCTGGTGATGCTGATTGCGATGATGATGATGTTGTAGACGCTGGCGCTGATGTTGAAGATGATAAATGGGGCTGGTTATGGTGGCGTTGATGATGATGATGATGATGATGATGATGATGATGATGAAACTGACGATGATGCTGATGATGACGGCCATGCGGATGATGCCAATACCACCGATGCAGCTGATGGCGATGCTATGTTTGTACTAATGATGATGGTGATGACAATGGTGCTGCTGATGATGAAGATGACGACGATGCTGACCATGCTGACGAGGATTGTGATGCTGATTGTGGTGGTGATGATGGTGGTGCTGATGTTGATGCTGATGCTGATGCTTGCGCTGCTGACGATGGCGACGGTGTCGATGATAATGATGATTATGATGACGATCATGAAGATGCTGCCGCTACTGCTGCTGATGATGATGTTGAAGATGCTGATTAGTATGCTGATGCTACTAATGATGATGATGATGATGATGATGATGATGATGATGATGATGATGATGATGATGATGATGATGATGATGATGATGAGAAATGAAGGAGGAGGAACATGATGATGAAGAGGAGGAGGAGGAGGAGGAGCTGGGTGGAGAAAGAGGGAGGATAAGAGGGAGGAGGACGAGGAGGAGAAGGAGGATGAGGAGCAGACTCGCAGACTCAAGGAGTCTGTCTCGCAGAACGCTGACGTTCTCTGTACGACGGCTCGGGACCTGATGCCCCGAGCCAGTGCTCGCTCGGTGGCAACCCCAAGGCGCCCACCTTAGAGAGGTTCTCGGCGGGGACGGAACGCGAGCACAGAGTGAGAGCACGCATGAAAAGAGTTGGAGGAGGAGAAGTTTGGAGGAGGGAGGGAATATTGTAAACCCATGACCCATCAATGTTGTTGCAGTAAATCCTTCCTCCAAGTTCCCTCTCCATAGGTCCTTACAAGAATCTGTTTTATCTTCGGGAAGTGCCCCGTTGAGAGACAATCGTCTGAAAGTCCCGAGCTGTGCCAAGACACCGTTCCTGGAACTTCAACGCCGCGAATTAACGCTACTGTTGCGTCCTGACGAGCCTGAACCGTACCGGAACACCATTCCTGGGACTTCTACACCGCGAATCAGCGTGACTGTTGTGCCCTGACAGCCCTACATTTTGCCAACACACCATGCTTGCAACGCCAACCATAACACTTCTTGAGACGATTGCGAACTTTATGACGAATGTGTGCGACGCTGAGGCGAGAGCCACATTTTGAAGGAACTTCATCCGTGTAACTCTTGCACACTCTTAGGTTGAATGTGCGCGAAGCTTAGGCGAGATTGTCATTGTGAAGACGGCCCTCCCTTCATCCGTCAAACTGCTGCACATTCTCAGCTTCAGGATCACAAATTGGGAGGAAGTATCAGGCGAAACGCCCGGCCCGCCCTACCGACGCCTACCGACGCGTCTTGGGGGTGCGACAGGAGGAGTTCTTCAGAAGGAGAAAGGGGAGGAGGAGGAGGAGGAGGAGGAGGAGGAGGCGGAGGAGGAGGAGGCGGAGGAGGAGGTGGACGGGGAGGAGGAGGAGGAGGAGGAGGAGGAGGAGGAGGAGGAGGAGGAGGCGGAGGAGGAGGCGGAGGAGGAGGAGGAGGCGGAGGCGGAGGCGGAGGAGGAGGAGGCGGAGGAGGAGGTGGACGAGGAGGAGGAGTAGGAGGAGGAGGAGGAGGAGGAGGAGGAGGAGGAAAGACGCACGGAGGCCGAGGAGGGGCCCCTCTCCAGCCGGGGCAGGGCTCCGACGCCGCGGGCGCCCGCGGCGCGGCGGCCAGGGCCGAGGCCCCCCTGCGCCGGGCCAGCTCCGCTCCTCTGGGCCAGCTCCGTGCCTCTCTGCAGTCAAGCAGTGGCGAAGCGTCCCGGCCCGCCTATAGCCCCACCAAACAATGTTCTAAGAACCTTTTGTGGTTTCCACGAAATGTTCTCAGAGCATTTCTGGAGGAGTCTGTCTTGTTTTAAGCACATCGGGCTTCTGTTCTAAGAACATTGTTTTTGTTCTTAGAACATTGTTTGGGGTTCTAAGAAATTTACGTGGTAGGACTATAGGAATGCCGGGACGGTCGGTCCCTGCTCAAAGCAGGGCGCTCGACCTCGACTCGGCGCGATTCGCTGCGGCCTCGGCCGCTGCCGCTGCCGCTGCGGCGCGGCTGCGGGCTGCCGCTGGCGGGGGCCGGCGTCTCGGGGGAGGCCCTGCCAGCCTGCCGGTGCCCGCCGATGCGACTTCTCCCGACTTGGCCGCCGGCTCCCGTGGCCGAACCGACTTGTCGATTCGATTCTGGGCTTCCTTGTCGAAGACGAAGCTGTATGAGCTATGGTGCATCGTCGTGGGGCCTTCCCTGTCCAGTCAGTTGCGGTCCTTCCTGGTGCTCCAGCGTACCCGGGTGCCAGCCAGATTCGACGTGAGTTCTGCGCTGATCCGACACGGACTCGACGCGGTCGGCATGTATTCGACGCGGATTCGACACGGACAGCGGGCGTAATCGGAGAGTCGTGATTCCGACGATGCCATATAGCACAGCACGATCATCCATTCTGTTCGAGCTCCACGCGGATTTCTCGGACTGGCGCCGCCCTTGGCACCCTTCGACTGTTCATGCGGTTCTTCCTCCAATTAGGGGGCCACATGCGAACCCTACCCTCACCCCCTACGATTTTTGAGGGGGAGGGTGGGGTTCACTTCGCTCGGGAGCTCCCGAACGAAGTGAACCCCACCCTTCCCCTCAGAAATCGTGGAGGGGTAGGGGTAGGGTTCGCATGCGGCCCCCTATCCAATACCATTTTGTCTCGGCGAGCCCTCTGCCATGCGGTAAGCGGCTCCCGGCGGGGAAACGGGCCCTGGGCAGGCACAGGCGCGGCGCAGGAGGAGCAACTGGTCCCCGGGGGGAGCCCCAGTTTCTGGTCCTCGGGCATCCAAGTTTCTGGTCCAGTCGAAGACCTCCCCAAAGCTTGGGATAGGGGTCGACACATCCCCTGTTAGTTGTCCTCCGCTGACTGGCGTCGTCGGCGCGTCGGATGGAGTGCGCCCGTGTGTTGGATCCGGGGGGGGGGGTGAAAGGGATCTTTGGGAGGCGGCTCCGCACGTCGGCGGCGAGCCCAGAAGGGGAAGCGAGGGAAGCGAGGGGGGCGAGACTGCCCGGAAACTGGGGGCCCAGGAACCCGCTGGATGCCCGAGGGCACGCTTCCTTCGCGCCACGTGGGGCCTGCGTTGGGTGGGGCATGTTCTCCTACAGGCGGGCTTTCTAGACGACAAGCACAGCGAGTCAAAAGCCATATCAAAATAATGTCAAAAATAATCCCAAAGTCATCCCCAGACTATTGCGAAGGCCTTGTGGCCGATGCCGCCGACCCTGTAGGCAGCGACGACGAAGACAATGGAGGTAGTGGGGTCCAAAATGCCCTCAGATGGCTCGAAGACGGCGCCAGATGCCTGCAAGGTCGTCCGAAGACAGCTCAAGAGGCCTCCTCCAGGGTTCGGCAACGGCTCCAGAGAGTGCCAAGATAGGCAAAGAGCGCCCTCAAGTGGCCCGAGAGGGTTCCAAGACGGCTTCAAGCGAGGTCCAAGAGCGCCCGCAGAGGTTGTCAAGACTGCCGCCAGAGGCTGCCAAGAGAGTCTACAAATTGCGAAAGGTCTCCACGGAGCCTTAAGATAGGCTGAAAAGGCTCGCAGACGGCCCCGGATGGCCAACGGAGCCTGGGGGCTGCGTATCCGAGGGGGGACCCCCGGGAGTCGCCCCGGGACCCCCCCCAGGGACCCTCCCCCCGGTGGGGAAGGGATCAAGGGAAGGGGCTTCCCTTCGACTGAAGGACGACGTTGTTCAGTTTTTTGTGTGGACTTGTGTAGGGAGCCCTCGGAAAGCATAAGAGGCGACGACGCTGTGGGGAAGACGGAAAAGCCTCTCACACACGCAGACAGTGTCGTGTTTTTTCTTTATATATGTATATATATATATATATATGCTTTTGAGCATTCCTCCTGTAGAAGGACATGCCCGACGTAAGGCGTGCTGCAGCCGTGTCAGTGCAGTCTACATCTCGCCTTCGGTGCCAATCATTGTGGAAGTCGATGCATGGAGAGGAAGCAGGCTGCCAAAGAATTTCCAGATGTCTAAGACATGTTCCAAACATGTTCTAAATATGTAAAATGCATGTTTGAACCATGTTTGGTACATGCTTTACACATTTTGAACGCACTATTCAATGATAGGATTGTTCGAGTGTCCATTGACATGGCATCAACAATGCCATCCTTGAGCGCTCGGCCAGGCTCGGCCTCGCCTCGCCTCCCTGCAACAGCTCGGGAGGAGGGGGCCGCCCTGCCGCTGCTTCGGCGCTGCCCCGAGTTGTCCAGAAGACCTGGGCGGCCCCCTTCAGGACGAGGGCCTCGGGCGGCGAGCGTATCCGTATCAACGCCCTCGCGGTCTGCATTTCGGGGCGCGATCCCGCGGGTACGCGGTCGCAGGGATGCCTTCGTCGCGGGGCAGCCGCGAACAGAAGCGCCCAGCATCCGCGGGGTCGCGGCCCGGCCCGCGAGGCCGCGGACGCGGACACAGATGTCTTGCGCCCGCGAGAGGAGGGTGCGATAGCATAGCGAGGGCGCTTGGGGGAGCAGCAGCAGCAGCAGCAGCAGCAGCAGCGGCGGCGGCGGTGGCGGCGGCGGCAGCAGCAGCTCGGCGTCGCCCCAACATACTAATACTATGTATGCGTCGCCCCCTCTGTGGTGACACGCGCACCGAGAAATCTTACAGTATATGCTCCGTGGCGGACGCCTTCTGGCCATACCGCTCGGGACACGATATGTTACAGGGACACGATATGTTACAAGACCGTATACTATAGGTTCGTCCGTCGGCTCTGCTCTGGGAGGGGCCCTCTCTCGCTCAGGCCATTCTCTTCTTCGGGGCTGGGGACACGCAGGAGCGAAATACTGACACGCACACGTGCATGAATCCGCGTAGGTTTCGGAAGTACGTGTTACGCGAACGTTCGTAACACGAGGCAGGTCTCGCGGATTGATGGGGCCGTATTCATGCACGCGGTTGAGCGCGTACGTTTTGTGTTCCCCCGGGACATGCAGCTCAGATCAGCGGCACCGCAGTGGAGACGGTCGCGACTTCCTGCCCTGCGTGTCTCTCCGCCAGTTTTGGCCCACAGCGCTTCGGCACGGCGCGGCTGTCCACGTGCCCTTTTTCCCAGGCGTCGACGTCCCGAGCGCCTCCCGCCCCGCGGAGCGGAGCGGCGCGCTGTCCGCTCGCAAGGCACCAGCGTGTCGCCGAGGCCGCCGCCGCGACACGCTAAGCACAAGTTCCCGGCCGTACTCGCCGGCGGGTGCCTCGGAGTTCTGCGGGACCTTGCCACTTCAGGGCTGCTCTGCGGCATGGCAGCAGTGCCCGCATCGGGCAGGGTTGCACTCGGCGGGTCGCTGGTCAGAGTACCTATTGGTGGAGCACCCGCAGGGGAGCGTTGACAAGATGCCTGCCGAAGCACGGTCCTTTTTGGGTTCGGGAGGGGCTCTGGGTTCTCTGTGGCCGAGGCTCCGCAGAGAGACCTCCTCATTCCTCACTCGGCGCTCCGTGTGATTGCGCGCGATGGCTGTATTCGACTCCCTGTATTGGTGCCCGTGCCATCTGGATGGGGTCGAAGCATGTCGGCCCAGCAGGCGAGCTGCAACATCAGAACAGAACAAGTCGGGGCTCTCTTTGCAGGCCTGGGGATTTCTTTGCAGGCCTGCTGCGAACCCTATCTGCGCCGAGCTGCAAGAATAGGCGGCTGTTCCTCACGATGTGCTCTGCCCGTTTTGCATGAAGTGAAGACAGGGTCCTCCGCCCCCCTCACCCGCTTCTTGTGATGGATTCCAAGCGCATGCGCCTGTATGCTTCTTGTGTGCCCTTGTAGGCCAACCGCGGGTTCGCTCCATGGGGTGTTCACGCATGCGCTTTTGGCATGCATGGCTGCGTATTGGTGTCTTTGGGTTGTCGATCGCCGTGAAGAGGGAGCCGGGCCAGAGAACGCATTTCGCCTGCTCTTGCCTTGACTCCACCTGCTTTCGCTCTTCGTCGTCCCAGTCGTTCTCGTGCTCCTCGTCGTCGTCCTCCTCCTCTTCATACATCATCTCCTCCTCTTATTTCTCCTCCTCCTCCTCCTCCTCCTCCTCCTCCTCCTCCTACCTCACAGCCTTTGCCGTCGCCATCGTCGTCGCCTTCTACACCGCGTGTACGACCACGGGGTCCTGCGACGGGTGTTCCCACCAGCTGATAGGACCACCCCCTCTTGGTCTGAAGGTCCACCCGCCGAGCAAAACGTAGCCTCTCGGTCTCCTCGAGGGAGGGCGAATGGGGCAGCGGCAGCTGCAGCGGCAGCGCCGACGTGCACCAGCCATCTCGTGGTTTTGAGGCTTGCCTGCTCCTGAGTTGTTTTTTTGGATTTGGCTACAGTCGGAACCGACAGGAAGGATGGGTAACCTTCCCAAGGGTACCTTTGCATTCTTGCCTCTTCGGTCCATCCTAAGCCGCTCTCGATGGCCCTCACCGCTCGAAGAGCCTCGACCTGCGCGTCCCAGGGACCCGCATCCTTATTGCGCATGCCTGCACCTGCCAGCGGCGCATCGCCAGCAGAGCAGTGGGCCAGTGGGCTGCTTCCCGAGCAGGCCGGCAGTCGGGCGCGGGCTCTCGTGGGTTTGTTCTCTTAGGATCGGGCCTCGAGGGCCCGAAGCGTCAGGCAGCCTGGGCGTGAGCGGGCCCAGGCAGCAGGTGCGGTGCCTCCTCGACCCCCGAGGCGCGGCGCGGAGGTCGGCGGAGGCGGCCTGCAGGGCAGTTCGTGACGCATCCGACCCCGAGCCCCTCCCCCACATCCTCATCACCACGACCTCGCCCCCCTCCTCGTGGGCCTCGGCGCTCCTCCCGCCAGAGGTTGCCGTGCACCCCCACGCCCGGGCCCACGTCGTGTCCATCACGGCCTCGGAGGCCGCCGCCGACCTCCCCCCTCCGTGCGGCTGCCCCGCCCCGCGAGCGCTCGGCCACGGACCCCCCTGCCGAGCGCAGGCCGTCCAGCTACCGCTCCGACGACCGCCGCAGATCCTTGGCATCGCTCGGCCGTGTGCACTCTTTCTCGGCGGGGGCTGTGAATCTGGACGCCCGAAATGGGTACGGAAAGAATGGGTACAATGCCCAGCAGCAGTTCCTGTTCAGTTTGAACAGGACTCGCTGTCCGCGCCGCCGCGGCCTGTGCCCATTCGGGACAGGAGGCCGCCTGCCCAACGGCGGCCGCTGTTGGGTTGGGACAGCATTTGTTGTTGGGCATTGTACCCATTCTTCCCGTGCCCACTTCGGGCGTCCAAAATGAAGGAGCGTCTTGGATCATCCTGCGAACAAAAACCACGCGCGAGACCGAAAAAACGCACAGGGCATGGACGGCCAAGCGATGGCCGGGATCGTGGAGAACCCGGCGCCTCTCGAGCGGGCAGGGCCCGCACGTGCAAATCGGCTCCTGGCGGCGCGCGAAGAGAGGTAAGAGGGGGGAGGAGGAGGAGGAGGAGGAGGAGGAGGAGGAGGAGGAGGAGGAGGAGGAGGAGGAGGAGGAGGAAGTGGAGGAGGAGGAGGAGGAGGAGGAGGAGGAGGAGGAGGAGGGAGAAGGGAGGAGGGAGGAGGGAGGAGGGAGGAGGGAGGAGGGAGGGGGGAGGAGGAAGAGGAAGGGGGGTGGAGGAGGGAGGATCCAGTTTCCGGGTCCAAAGCTGACCGATCCTGCCAGGCTGTTTCGGCCCCTAAGTGGACATCCTGAGGGGCGAAGGCCCGCCCGTGCCCTCCAGCGGCGCGCCAAAGGGGAGTTGGGCTCGACCATCGAGGACAGAAGTACCCCTAACCCTAAGAGGTCCCCGTCTCTATATTAGGGATCGATCTGGGCGGTTTGGTCTGATGCATCTGCAGAACAGACCCCCTCATCCCTGATGTTTTTGGTCTCCTAGCTTTGATCGCCTCCCTAAGGGTTTGGGGTCCTTTCATTGCTAGTCACTCGAGGGGGCCTTCTAAGAGGGCGGGATGCTTCTTGGAGCATGTTGGAAGCATCTTCTTGAGCGATCTTGCGCTGTCTTTGGCTATCTTGGAGGTCATGGGCTCTCGGAGGCCCCCGTGGAGCCATCTTGAGCCCCAAACCACCCTCTGACACCTCGCCGCCCTCACCTCCAGGTCCAGGGGGAGGGGGTGGTGGGAGGGGTAAACCCTTCCCCGAAGGGGAAGAAGGGGATGGGAAGGGAAGCCTCTTTGAACCACCCACGCCCTACAGGGCTGCTGGGATTCCTGTGTTGATGATGCCGCTCTTTGTTCCTCTGCTTACAGGGCCAATGTCAATCCGATCGATCCGATTCGTTGTCGACTCCAGCCGGCCCGATGCAGCTCGATCCCGGCACTCTCCGACGACTTCGTGCGGCACGATGGTTGCGCGGCGTTGCCGCGCGCCCTGACGCGGCCGATCTGGCTCCGTGCCGACGTCGGGGAGAGGCGAAGCGACACCATGACCTCCAGGGGGGCCACCTCCAGCGAGGAGGTCCACGATGCCTCCCCGAGCTGGGAACAGGGGATGTCTCGAGCGAGGGGGAGGACCATAATCACCACCAGGGGGCCTCCCCCTGGCTCTTCCCGCTCGTGGTCCATGGCGGTGGTGGTGTTGCATCTTTTTTTTCGGCGGGCAGCCCCAGGGGGGAAGTGAGAGGGGGCGGGCCTTTCTCAAAAGGTTCGGAATCCTCCCCCAGCCTTCAGAGAAGTTTCCGAAGCCTTCCCCGGAGATGCTTTTTGCGTCGGGCAGGGGACGCCTGCGCTGGCGATGGATGTTCCCCGGAGATGCAGAAAAACTTCTCAGAAGGCCGGCAGGCGTCCGAGAAGCCCCGCCGAATTCTGAGAAGGCCTTCTCCTTCTCCCCTGACCTTCCAGGAGGGCTAAAAAATAGTACCAGGGCCTCGATATCTTGATTCCTGTCGAGGCTTTAGGCAGCCCAGATAGGCCTGGAGGGCTGTTCTTTAGCACTCTGGAAGGTCAGGGCCCCTTCCCCCTCCCTCGCTCGCCGCCGGCTGCTCCTGCGCTGCGGGCCCGGCCCGCCGCACGCCTCGATCCGGTTCGCGCGTCCTGCTCCGGTGCCGACCTATCCTGCCCCGGCGCCCGGGGCCCGCGGCCTCGCGGCCCCGCGCATGCGCACGGGCGCGCTCGCAGCCTCTGCCCGCCCGCGGCCCCCCGTCGGGGGCGGAAAAGAGGGGGGTGATGACCAGGGGGGGGGGGGATAGCATGGCGGGGGCCATGATATTTCCCCAGATTTCATGGCGCCCCTTCTCATCTCGTGACGTCCCTGGCCCCCCCGCTGGGCCGCGCGCATGCCGCCGGTCATGATTTGCACCCCCGCCTCTTGGACACCCCCCTCTTGCCCGCCCGCGGCCCCCCGGAGCCGAGTCGGCAGGATCTCCACGTGCGGCTGGTCGTGCTGCGCTTTCTGGTCGACCCAGATCAGGAGCGAGAGAAGGACGTACACGTACATGAATCCACGCTGGTTTCGAGAGTTCGCATTGCGCGACTGTTCGTATCACGCGGCCGGTCTCGGGTCAAGGGGCCGTGTTCATGTACATAGCTGGGCGCGTACGTCTTTTGTGGGTTCCCAACCAGAAGGTCCAGCTGAGAGGGGTTGGTGCAAAGTAGGCCTGGGCCAATCGTATTGCAAATGTACTGCGCCAGAACATGGTACTGCAGTGTTATTGCAACCAGTGTGTTGCACGCGGAAGCCTAGCAACACATTTGCGCACCGGAACATACTGCACGATCCAAATCTATTGCATCTATTGCACCACCCCTGCCGCTGGACCCCCTTTTGGGTCAACCAGATTCGCGCGGGCCACGCGGGCTTGGCATCGCTCGGACGTTTGCATTCTTATCATCTCGGCGAGGACCATCGAGAAGCACGCCGGCTGATCTTGCGCTCAAGAGAACGCACGGAGCCGAACATTGCACGGGCAATGGACGTCCGAGCGATGGCAAGACGAGCCGAGTCGGCAGGATCTCGATGGCGGCCAGTCGTGCTCCGCGCGGGCCACATGGGTCTCGTGGGTCGCTTTGCGCTCATCGGCAGGGTCTCACGGATCTCGCGATGTTGGGACCAGGAAGTCTCCAGGATACCCAGAGGTCTCCGGGGGCTCGCGCAGGTGGGGGACTGGTCTAGGTGTGGTAATTGCGTGAGAGTCGTTTTAGGTATGAGCTGTTGTCTCCTCTGTCTGCTAGCGTTTACTATTTCGTAGCAGTGGCCGCTTATCGGCACTGATAGGCGCTAATAGACAATAGGCGCCAATAGGCGCATACAGTCGCTGGTAGGTGTTACTAGTTTAGAACGTCAAACTTGACAGACACCTCATATGGCCGAACCTGTCTGAAAATCACTCTCGCACAACGCGCATCAACTGGTTCAGGGGCGACCCCCCGTCGCCCATCGGAGGCCTGCGCAGTCGAGACGCTGAGAGGAGGAACCGGTTTTTTGGGGGGCTCAGGAGGGGCTCCGTCTGCTCGGGCCGCTCCAGAGGCCCTGGTTTCTCTGCGGATCCCGCTCGTGGCCGAGGCTCGCCGTGGCCCGAAAAAGCCCCTTCGTTCCCTATCCAGCGTGCCTCCTGGTAGCAGGACTCAGGAGGAAAAGAAACACACAGATACAATTAATCCTCGATTTCCCAGAACATATGGGAAAACATGGGAAGTGGGCGGGAAGACAGACACCCAGAAACTATGGGAAAATATAGGGGACTATTCCATCTGTGTGCATTCATATGTGTGTCCTTGGGCCCCTTCAAGACGACAGTCTCGCCGACCCACCGGCGACGCGTCGTCCATTCCAGGTCGTGGTTCCCCCCCTTTGAGCCAGTCCTCCCTCCCCGACAGGAGGTCTCCCAGGCATCGGTGGTCTGCAGTCCCGCTGCCCCTGCGCCCGTCGATCTGCTGGCCCTCTTTTGCAGGTCCCCCCATCCCTGGGGACCAGGGAAGATCGGAGCGGGAAGAGATCTGCGGACACCGCTGCCCTCGAAGAGTTCGGACGAACGGAGGGGGATGGGGCGACGGGGGGGGGGGGGTGCAACATCTGCTGCATGCAGCCCGTTTCGGCCCCGCCGCGGGGCTTTTCCTCGCCAGAAGTTCCAGCGGCATGCAGCTGAGTCGCTACCTCGCCCCTCGTTGCTATACCCCCTTTCGTCCGCCCCGCGGCAGGACCTCGCTTCCTCATGAGGCCTCAAGTTGCGTCTGAGGTTCGGTCGGTTCGGTTGCGTCGCAGTCGTTTGCGTTCGGTCGGTCCGGTTCGGCCGGCTGTTGTGTCGTTGCGGCGTAGCCGGGCCCTCTGGCTGCTTGCGACCTGTCGGTTTCGGCCAGTGTCGGTCTCGTTGTCGGTTCGGTCGGTTTTCGATCACGCTTCGAAGGGCGGCGCTGGAGCCACGCCAGCAGCGCCTCCGTGGCCGCCCCCTGGCGCGCTCCGCCAGGGGAAGTCCCAGCGCCGACCCAAGAGCTCCGCGCGGGCATCGAAGTGTGTGTGTGTGTGTGTGATGGTGCGGTGTTTCGTCGTCCTATTTTGGCTGCCGCCGCGTCCAGGAACTCCCTTTCGACACCATCTGGCCGATGGTGCGCGACGACATCATGGAAGCCGTGCGGGAGGAGGGGCCGTGGGCCCCGGGGTGGGGCTGGCAGCGGGACGGGGACACTGCGACAGGAAGTGTATTGTCGGGCTCTGCCCTCGTCAGAGGATTCGGGATATTTCCGCTCCAGAGTGCTCGAGCCCCTTCCTGTCGTGAGCGCCCAAACTCGCCGTGCAGCACAGGGAAGAACGCATCGACCCCCAATCGCCCATTCATCGCCGATGGGGACATGATAGCCCACCTCGCCCAGGAACGTGCGGACTCGCTACCGAGGGCCTATCGCGGATCAATCGGCGATGTCTCACCGATTCGAGCTCGATGTTTTCCCCCTAGGGCGGTCCCCTTCAACAAGCGTTGCCCATCATCGTAAAGTGGAACACACACATTACCAGTGGCGGGCTGTTTTTCAATCACAGGACCTTTTGAAGGCCAGGGACGACCTCGGAGTGGTGTGGTGTATATTTGGTTATCCGTTTCCCAAGGAAGCAACGGAACATGTATACACTAGGGTCCCGTATACACCAGGACCCGCTTTCCTGTGCGCTTTTCTGTGCGAGGAGGAGGAGGAGCTCGGTCCCCTGCCTTTATCAGAGGGACGCGTTCTGTAGGTTTTGGTCCGTTGTCGGCTTCTCCCTTGGCCTGCCTCTCGGGAGGATGCCAGGTGCCATGTGCCCGCTTTCCTGCGGGGGGGGGACAGAACCCCCACCCTGACATGTCGATTAGTGAATTGTCCGTTTTCGGTTCTCGAGAGGGCGCTGCGGCCGTCATTTTCCAGGCTTGCGCCCGCCAGGTTTGGGTCCGAGGTTGTTTTCACTAAGCCACGTTTTACTAAAGGGGGTTCTGTCCATCCCCGGTTCCTCATACCAGATGCCCGTGCATGACTGCAGAACTGCCTGAAGAGCCCAATCTGCTAGGGGGCGGACTCCGCCTTACGGCCCGCAGTTCCGGTCCAGCTTCATTTTGAAACCCACGTTGGTGTTGTCTTCCGAGCAACTTCCGACCTGCTTGGCAGCATTCCGCGATGCTCTCCGTGACCCGCTGGCGAGAAAAGGTGTTTTACTGGGAGGAAACATGCCGCTGGTGGGGGGGGCTGGGCGGTTGGAGCGCGAGGTGTTCCGTCAGCGGCCTGATGCTGGCTTTTCGACGGTCGTTTTGGGGACCTTTTTGGGGTCCACCTAACGGATTTGTTCGACTTTAGTTCCACTCAAGTTCGATTCAAGCTCGACGCAAGTTTGATTCTTGGTCGAGTCGGGTTCGACTCGAGTCGACGGACGTTCGACGCAGCTTCGACGCACGAGTGGAGCGAGTGGCTCCCAAAACAGAAGGTCCACAGAATGAGCATCCGACGGCTTATCCAGCTTTTATTTCGGTCTAATCCGGGGCTTGCCCCGACTTTCTCATGCGTCGTAACTTGTCTTGGGAATCAAACGCGGAGCAATAATACGATGCCCTAGGCGTCTTTTCTTTTTGCCGCTGTGCGCCTGGTTGGTATGCCATGTGTGCTCGATTGGTTGTCCGACTCGCCTCGCGGTCGGGCGGCTTTCACGCATTCTTTCGAGACCGAAGCAGAACGTGACTTCCCGACGTCGTACCCCCCTCGCAGTTGCGGGTAAGACTCAAGGATTGGAGGATTCGCATGGATTGACGGCGCGTCGCAGTGCCGCGCCCCCACCCGATTGCCGCCGCTTCTTCCTATGTTTAGGACAATGTTGCGGGTCTCGCAACGCATCGCCTTACGTGGGGAAAAAACGCGAAATGCAGCGGTGAAGCGGGGGGGAGGAGTTCGAGGACCCGCGGGACCAGGTGGCCCACCTAGCAATGCGGGCTTCGGAACCCCTTCCGACGGCATCGACACGTCCGAGGTTAAAGGATCGGATTGAACATTGAATTTCCGATTGCCTTCTATCACTGACGCGATACATTCCGAGACCCGCTATCTATTCTTGGGAATGAAGAACGGCGGGGTGTTTTCAAGACGTTGTGGAATCGAAGCGAGCCCGCCTACCCTGCACTCTCATCCGCAATTGTGGGGAATAACTTAGGATATTAATCACATATCTATAGAGAGAGGGGTAGAGAGAGAGAGAGAGCGCGACATGAAGATGCTTTTACATCTGCGCATGCGTGCGTGCGACACATGCCCAGTTATGGTTGCACTGGAAGGGCATTATTTCGATGTCCAACCCTCGACTCACACCGATTCGGTAAGCGGTGTTGCACTGAGAAGGTCCTGCTGCCATGAAGGCTCAAAGAGATGGGAAACAACGCCTAGGCGTCTCCGTCGTCGAAGACATGCACGCGCCTGCGTTCCAGGTATGGGTGGATGTGTCATATTTCAGATGCGGAAGCGTGGATTCGACTCGCACGCGCTCAATTTTGATCAGATGCGTCTCTGTTTATGACGCATGCGTTCGTTTTCACACGCGTGCGTATTAGAGAAGACAGTGGGGAAGGCGGGGGTTACTGTGAGCCAATCCAGCTTAGTGACCCCATGCTCGGGCTCAACAGCTCTTGCCACCGCTCCTACGAAGACCTCCCAGGAGTTGCTTCTTGAGTCTCCGATCTATCCCAGTCCGCCTTTGCCCCAGTCCTGGCTTCGTGTTGCTTGCGCCTCAAATTTGGGCCCCTGGACCAAGCCTGGGCTGCGTTCTGGCCAGAACTTCGAGGCGAACCCAGCCGTGGCCACCCGAGACGGCCCAGGGGCTGCCAGAGACGCCCCTCTGGAGACCTCACATCGTCGTGCCTCGGACCTCCCTCGATTCTCGAACCCAGTCTTGGCGCCTCCTCTCAGGAGGCCGCCGAGCTGTCACGGTCCGACCGTGTCCCGGTCCTGGCTTCGTTCTCGGGGGCGTGCGGGCGGGGGTGCGAGGTGTCGATGACGATGATGGTGGTGGTGGTGGTGGTGATGAGGATGAGGATGAGGGTGAGGGTGAGGGTGAGGGTGAGGGTGATGATGAGGGTGATGATGAGGCTGCTGATGATGATGCCGATCATGATGATGATGGCGATGATGATGGTGATGATGATGATGATGATGAGCATGAGGATGAGGATGCGGATGAGGATGATGATGATGATGATGATGATGATGCTGATGCTGATGATGATGCTGATGCAGATGATGATGATGATGGTGCTGCTGATGATGATGCTGCTGCTGATGATGATTATCATTATGATTCTGACTATGATGATGATGCTGATGTAGATGATGCTGCTGATGATGGTGACGATGATGAAGGTGATGCTGATGATGCATGATGATGCTGGTGGTGATGACGAGGATGGTGGTTTCTGTCTTAGTGGTGGTGATGGTGGGGATGTTCATGGTGATGGTGATGGTGATGGCAATTTTGATGGTGATGGTGAGTGTGATGGTGATGCTGATAATGAGGTGGTGGTGATGGTGGTGATGATGAAGATGAATATGATGATGCTGTTGATGCTGATTCTGATGTCGTGGTGTTGATGCCGATTGTGATGATGGTGCTGATGATGGTGGTGATTGCAATGGTGGTTGTGGTGGTGGTGATGATGAGAATGGCGTTGGTGCTGCTGGTGATGATGATGCGATGATGATTATGACGCTGGTGATGACGATGATGGTTGTGGTGGTGATGAGGATGAGGAGAAGGATTAAGATTCTGACGACGACATTGATGGTCGCGAGGATGACCCATGATGATGCAAGTGCTTCCGCTGCTGATGATAAGGGTGATGGTGGATGATGGTGATGGTGATGGTGGTGGTGATGATGATGCTGCTGATGGTGATGCAGATGATGTTTATGCTCATGATGGTGCTGTTGACGGTGATGATGCTGATGCTGCTGATGATGATGAAGATGATACTGATGATGCTGATTATGATGACGATGACGATGACGATGACGATGACGATTATGATGATGCCGATGATGCTGCTGATGAGGATGATGATGATGATGATTATGATGATGATGATGATGATGATGATGATGATGATGATGATGATGGCGGCAGTTTAGGCGAAGATTATCTGATCTTTGCAGGGGGCGGGGCGGGCGGGTGCGCGAGGTGTGCCGCCGTGGACACCAGAGACCCGAGGGTGCCATCTGCGCGGACGTACTGCGGGGCGGCTCGGGTGCCATCGCCGAGAGGCTGACGCTGGAGGAGCCCCCCCGCCCCCAGCACGGAGGTCGGCGGCGCGCTGACGGGGGACGTGAGAGGGGCAATGGTGTCTGAGGTTCGGTCGGTTCGGCTGCGTCGCAGTCGGTTGTGTCCATGTCGAGCCTGAACTTCTCCACGCCGACGGCGACGCTGCATCGCCGATCTCGCCGATGGATGGTCGATGCATCGACGATGCATCGAAGCTACGGCGCGATCCTCCGACCCATCTACTCAGACCCCATTTTGGAGGCCTCCTTTGGGTCTCAAGTGGGTTTGCGGTTCGGTCAGTTCGGCTGTGTCGCAGTCGGTTGCGTTGGGTCGCTTCGGTTCGGTCGCTTATCGGGTCGTTGCCTCGTCACTGAGCTATCTAAGCTGCTTGAGGCCGGTCGATGTCGGTCGGGTCTGGTTTTGCTGTCGGTTCGGTCTGTGTTCGGCCGTGCTGTCCCGTGGACGGCCCTGGATGGGGCAGGGCCCTGTCAGAAGGCGGCGTTTTTTTCAGAAGCCTCGGGGCCTCATGAGCAGCCCTCCATTGGCCTCGGCGAGGGTGTATGTGATGCTTCTCAGGAGGCCCGGGCGCCTTCAGAGCCGTCTGAGCAGGCCCGCGCCCTGCCGTCCTTTTCCCTCTGGGCGCGCCGCTGAGGGAGGAGGAGGAGGAGGAGGAGGAGGAGGAGGAGGAGGAGGAGGAGGAGGAGGAGGAGGAGGAGGAGAGGAGGAGGAGGAGGAGGAGGAGGAGGGAGGACGATATGAGGAGGAGGAGGAGGAGGAGGAGGAGGAGGAGGAGGAGGAGGACGAGGAGGAGGAGGAGGAGCAGGAGGAGGAGGAGGAGGACGAGGATGAGTTGGAGGAGGGAGGGGAGGAGGTGGAGGAGGAGGACGAGGAGGACGAGGAGGAGGAGGAGGAGGAGGACGAGGAGGAGGAGGAGGACGAGAAAGAAGAGGAGGAGGAGGAGGAGGAGGACGATATGAGGAGCAGGAGGAGGAGGAGGAGGACGAGGAGGAGGAGGAAGAGGAGGAGGAGGAGGAGTAGGAGCAGGAGGAGGAGGAGGTGGAAGAATATGATGAGGTCAAGGCATTTTTGTTTGTCGTCCTGGGCGTCTAGAGGCCGTTCCAGAGTCCAGCAGGGAAGGAAGGAGCCGTCGAGAGGTCCAGTCCAGACCTTGAGGTTTCAGGTTTTCCTTGCGTTTTGGGCGGTTTCTGGGTTCCCCCGCGACCCCGCCCGCGACCCCGCCCGCGACCACGCCCGCCACCCCGCCCGCGACCCACCCGCGACCCACCCGCGACCCACCCTCGACCCACCCGCGACCCACCCGCGACCCATCCCGCGACCCGTCCGCGACCCACCTGCGACCCGCCCGAGACCCACCCGTCACCCGCCACCCACCCGCGAACCACCCGCGACCCACTCCACGAGTCATGCACATCGCTTTTAGGAAAAATCTGCGCCTGCGGCGGGTTCACGGCATGATTTGTAAAAGTTTGGCGCCTGTGGCGGGCTTCAGAGCCTCGCAGACTGCCCACGTCCTCGCCACTCCCTCGCTCTCATCCGCAACTGCGGGGTGCTACGTATTATATAGCCAAGTCGTTGGTCTAAGTAGCGACGTCCAAGATGTTCGAGCTTTGTTGTGCATATCTCACAGCCGAGAAACTGGGGGGCCCCGAAGGGGCCAAGCATAATACGGTGCCGTTCTCGCATTAGAGAAGGCGGCCCCAGCAGAAGGGACTGGCCCGCCAGACACATGTCCCGCACACGTCGAGCCACTGGATATCCGGACGTCGGCGCTCGCTGCTGCTCGCCCGCCGACGGCGGAGCTTCCAATGTACTTATTCGTTTGGTTGATCGAGCCCCTTCCCCAAGGCAGGGTCTTTTTCCGATTGGTCCGGCTCGATTCTGTTTTTCCGGCAAGGCCCGATCCGCTTCGGTCGCGATATTCCGACGGTCTTGTGCGGCCCCGATGTATGCGAGGCGTTGTTGTGCGCGCTTGCGCAGCCGATCCGATTTCGGTTTCGACTCCCGTGCCGATGGAGCCCGATCCGATGCACATCCCCGCCCAGCCCCGATTTCCCGATTCGGTGTTGTCTGGTTCTTTGCCCGCGCCGCGGCCGAGAGAACGCCCTTGCGAGGCGGCGGCCTTGTCGGCCCCGTCGCTGACTCGTGATTGTTGGGGGAGCAAACAGAGCGTCAACGACGCGCCGCCGAACGTTGGTCTCCTAACGGCATCGTTGTCATTGACGATCTCCTAACGGCATCGTTGTCATTGATTGTCGCATATCTTCCCGAGTAGGGGGGCAGCGACGGCGGCGCTGGGCGCGGTTCCAAGGGAAGAATGCTGCCGCAATTATCGACCAGGAGCCGCACGGGCTGGCTGCGAGGACGACCGTCGCTGGGCGAAGACGAGCGCAGCGGCTGCGCACGAGCAAGATGCCGGTGCGAGTAACGATGATGTTGGTTATGGTGATGATGATGATGATGATGCTGATGGTGGTGGTGATGATGTTGTTGCTGATGGTGATGGTGGTGGTGGTGATGATGACGATGATGATGACGATGCTGTTGATCATGTTGATGATGATGATGTTGGTGATGGTGATGATGATGGTGCTGATGAAGATGCTGCTGTTGACGATGATGGCGATGATTATGATGCTGCTGATGATGAAGATGATGCTGCTGATGACGACGATGATCACGATACTGACGATTATGATGATGATTATGATGATGATGATGCTGATGCTGCTGCTGATGATTATGATGATGCTGACGACCATGATCATGCTGATGCTGATGGTGGTGATGATGATGGTGATGATGAGGATGCCGATGCTGCTGTTGGTGATGATGGCGACGATGATTATTATGATGATGCTGCTGATGCTGATGATGGTGGTGATTATGATACTGTTGGTGATGGTGGTGGTGACGATGCTGTTGATGATGATAATGATGGTGATGATGCTGATGATGATGACGACGATGATGATGCTGATGCTGATGCTGATGTTGATGCTGATGCTGATGTTGATGCTGATTATGCTGACGTTGATGCTGCTTCTGCTGCTGCTGATGATGCTGCTGCTACTGATGATGATGATGCTGCTGATGATGATGCTGATGCTGATGCTGATGCTGATGATGATGATGCTGATGATGATGATGATGATGCTGATGATGATGATTATGATGATGATGATTCTGATGATGATGATGATGATGATGATGATGATGATGATGATGATGATGATGATGACGACGCTGATGACACTCGTGGTGGTGTTGGCGATGGTGAAGAGGATGATGAGGAGGATGAGTAGAATACGACGAGGATGAAAATGATGATGGGGAGGTGGAGAACGAGGTTTTTGCGGATGATGCCAAAGATGGTGGTGGTGATGGTGATGGGGAGCAGGACGAAGAGGAAGGTCATAATAATGAGGACGATCACTGTGGGAGGACTGGAGACTGCAGAGTCCCGCCCCGCTCTGGCAGCCACCCTCCTCGCTGGTGCCCTCGTGAGGAGGCGGAGACGCTCGCGGCGCGCCTGGGCCACGTAGTGCAGACCGTGGTCTCCGTCGACCCCGCCGCTGCTCAGGACCTGCCGATGGCCCTTGCGCTTGCGTTTGTAACGGAGTAGGGCCAGTCCAGACAGCGGCGGCCTTCCCTGGCCTTTTTTCGTTCTCTCGTGGGCCTCCTGGGGGCCTCTCGTCGCAACGGCTGGATCCGCCTGGAGAAACGGGTGCACGGACCCTACACGGCAAAATTAATGCTACGATCGAAATCAGAAACAAAATTTTGGTATCGAGAAGTGCCTGAAAGGATAAACCCCGCGCACAGAAAGTAAAACTCATGATGCCATCGGAATCAGCGCACAGAACTGGTCTAGAACAGAGCCCGAAAGGACTAATGGTACCATCGGAATCAGCGCACAGAACTTTTCTAGAAAAGAGCCTGAAAGGTCTAATGATACTATCGAAATCAGCACACAGAACTGGTCTGGAAAAGTGCCTGAAAGGACGAATGATACCATCGAGCTCAGCGTACAGACCTGGTCAATGATAGACCCTGGGAGGGGCACGGGACCGAGTTTGATCGGATTGGGGCTGCGCGGTAGAGCTGCTGCTGTCTCAAGCCGGGCCTGTCCCTCTCTACAGGAGGAATATTCCAGCTGTCAACAAATAGTCAGGGAACGATGTTTCGACTATTTTTGTTTATTTTGTAGCATTTGTTTCGTATTTTTATTTTTCGTCCAAAATCCGCCTGTGGGAGGACGTGCCCGCCCCCCTTCAGCCAACGGCGGGGTCGGGCCTTCAGGCCGCCCCAAAGCTACACCTAAGAGTGACCCTTCGCTGGAGGAAGCTCGAGATTGGTCGCGGCGCATGTAGCGGGGGTCATGCGGAGGCGACGATCGAGGCGGACAGCCCAGACGCGGACGTTTCACGCATTCGTGTGGGAGACTCACCGGAGACATGGATCATCGTCGCTTTCTGCGTGCATCTACTCGGAGATTTATGATGTTCCAACCTACTTTAGCCTTGATCACCAGAGAGAATTTCGAGCACGAAGCAAAAAATACCGAGACTCGAGGGTTTTCGCGTGTTGGGCCCTGGGAGACATTTGTCCGACACTGTTTCGACACTCTTTCCACACTCTTTCGACACTTTTCCAGGTGCTCGAAATTATTTCTGGGATGTGGTCCTTACAGTGGGGGCGCGTGCCAAGAAACCAGTTGGATTCTGCCAGGGTGCCCTGGGTTTCTTGGATTTCGATGGCCCCCAATACGAAGTTGACGGTTTTCGATCGACGAATTTGGATTTTCACTGAACAAATCGCGGATTTCAGGGTTGGGTTTCTTGCAGAGGTTCCTTGTGGCCGAGCCCCCACTGTAAGTACGATGGGGGCAACATGATCGTAGATTGCCTTCCACCCCATCCCGGTGCTATTCGCCCCTGTCGTTGCCGTGGGCGGTTTCCCACGCTGTCGTCGGTCCCCGGAGGTTGTCTTGATGCTCTCCAGCAGCTACGCCCCCGACGAGGGCGCTCGAGAGCGCCGCTGGCCGAGGGCTCTCGGGCGCACGCCCCGTGACGGGGCGCGCTGGTGGCCAGGCTTCGGTCAGGGGCCAGAGCGAGGGGGGCACGGTCTACGAGGGGGATGCATCGACCCCCAATCGCCCACTGAGCGCCGAGGAGGAGGAGGAGGACGATAGGAGGAGGAGGACGAGGAGGAGGAGGAGGAGGAGGAGGAGGAGGAGGAGGAGGAGGAGGAGGACGATAGGAGGAGGAGAGGAGGAGGAGGAGGAGGAGGAGGAGGGGAGGAGGAGGAGGGAGGAGGAGGAGGAGGAGGAGGAGGAGGAGGAGGGCGATAGGAGGAGGAGGAGGAGAGGAGGAGGAGGAGGAGGAGGAGGAGGACGAGATGAGGAGGAGAAGGAGGAGGAGGAGGAGGAGGACGACGACGATAGAAGGTGCAGGAGGAGGAGGAGGAGGAGGAGGAGGAGGAGGAGGAGGAGGAGGAGGAGGGAAGAGGATGAGGACAAGGAGGAGGAGCAGGAGGAGGAGGAGGAGGAGGAGGAGGAGGAGGAGGAGGAGGAGGAGGGGGCCCGATAGCCCCACCCCGCCCGGGGATGCGCGGCGTCGTTCTCGGGGGGCGCGCCGCCGACCTGCGCGCCGCCGATCCGTCGGCGATGTGCCGCCCGCTCCCTCCCCCCCCCCCGGGGCCGCTGCCCCCCCCTGCCTCGAGGGCGTCAAAGACGCCCCTACCCTGGTTTTCGACGCGCTGTGCGCTGAACCTCCTGTGGGCTGAAAGGGTAAGCCCTGCGCACCGCGCGTGTGGCGCGGCGTTCCTGGCGGCTCTCTGGCCTTTGGAGCTCCGAGGAGGCTTACAGACCACGCACTCGGGACCCAGGGTAGGGTGTTGTTCAGTCCCTCAACTACCGCTGCCCCTCACCGTCAGGCAGTGGCGAAGCGTCCTCGGTTGCCTCGGGGCCCACGAAGGAACGTTTTCAGAACCTGTGTGTGGTCTGCACGGAAGTGTTCGTTAGGACGGTTGGTCCCTGCTTACCAGTGGGGATGAGAATGAGGAGGAGGAGGAGGATGAGGGGGGGGGAGAAGGAGGAGGAAGGGGACGAGGAGGAGGAGGAGGAGGAGGAGGAGGAGGAGGAGGAGGAGGAGGAGGAGGGGGACGGGGAGGAGGACGAGGAGGAGAGGCCTCCCCCCACAACTTCTCCCCTGCCCTCCCTGCCTCCCCAGCCGTGTCTTCCCCAATCCCTCTCCTGCGGCTGCAGTTGCCTCCCTCTCGGGTGTGCCGCCAGGCCCGCTGCCTTCTGAGAAGGCCTCCTCCTTCTGACTTCCTCCCCTCGCTCGCCGCCGACATACGATGGTTCGCGTCGTGTCGACCAGCGGCGACCCCGCTGCGGGCGTTCAAGTTGAACGCCGCCGGCGACCCAGAATCGGTCGATGGTGAACGATCTGACGTTTCGGGAACAGCCAATCGTTCAACATTGAACCATCTCCGCGGTGTCAGAAACTAACGCCGAAGTCGTCACGACACAAACCTGCCGTATCGCTGCATAGGTTGAGCGCTTCCCAGAAGCAGTGCCGATGCAACTCGATCATATTCACATTTCGGTGTGTTCCATTTCCTCATTCGATTCGATGCTGATTGTTCCTGGGTTGATATGATGGCTTGCCCCTCGGCATGGGGCCGTGCCGCTGCGGTTGGACGTGGTTCGGATATTTTGCCAGGATGGAGTCTGTGAGCAGATTATGACAGAATAGATCTTGTCACGATGCGCCTGCGAACTAATGGATCTCGGGATGCATTGCCCACTGTTTTTTTGTGGTACGGCCAGCCTCTCGAGCTGGCCTGACTCCAGCCCCTTTAATGCCGGCACCCCTCCTTCTGAGTCATGGTGGACCGCCCCCCTCTTCGCCCTCCCCCCTCAGAGATCGGCCCCCGGACTCGCCCCGGAGCGCGTCCTGGCCAGTGCCTCGGGACGGGCACAGCTCGGGGTCCCCACACTCACCGAGCGCGTTCCACTACTCGCAAGCGTCAAACAGAAACCGCGTTCGCCTCGGCGTGAGAAATCGTAAATCCGAGCAGCGGCTTTGCGAGCAGCGGCTTTGCGAGTAGTGGAACGCGCTTGCCCACACACGCCACGGTGCGGCGACCACGCCGCGCGGTGCGCGCGTGGGGACTCGGGGCCACCGCACGCCTTCCGGGACTCGGGCCGTTCTCCGAGGACGTCTCGGACGGCGGGGGCCTCGGGTTAGGTCGGGCGTGCCCCTCTACAGGAGGCGTGCTCGAGAGAAGCTTAAACATGCTCTGGGCACGACATTCTGATGATGCTGGACTATCTTTGATTTTTTTTTTTGAGTCTCGTTCCTTTTTCGCCCAAGGTCCACCTGCAGGAGGCCATGCCCGACCGAAGCCTCGGGGGTCCCCGAGAGCGGCCCGTCGCCGCGCGTGCCACGGGCTTCCTGGAGCAGCCGTGGCGCCCGCGGGGGGGGAGCGCCCCGCGAAGGCGGCCCCGATCGTCGGCGAGCCCGCGGGCGGGGGGGGGGAAGTATGGGGCCACATGCGAACCCTACCCCTGCCCCCCACGATTTCTGAGGGGGAGGGTGGGGTTCACTTTGCTCGGGAGCTCCCGAGCGAAGCGAACCCCACACTCCCCCTCAGAAGTCGTGGGGGGCAGGGGTAGGGTTCGCATGTGGCCTCCTAGGAAGGCAGTGCGCAGGGGCGGGCCTTCTCAGAAGGCTCGGGAGCCCCCCGGCCTTCCGAGAGGTTCTCCCCAGAGATTCAACGCACTGACAAACATCAAGACGGAGGTTTTTCGCGATTTTGGGCCTCTCGCGGCCCTCGCCGGGCCACGGGACCGCCAAAAAACGACTCGGGATGGAAAACCGGTCCTGGGGAATGGGTCGGGATTTCCGGGGACCCTGCATTGGAAAAATCACGACGTCGGATCCCTGGGTCCAAGCCTTCCGTGGAGACGCAGAGAAGCTGTGAGAAGGCCAGAGGAGCCCTTCTGAGAAGCCCCGCCACCTCCTGAGAGGGCCTCCTCCTCCTCCTCCTCCTCCTCCTCCTCCTCCTCCTCCTCCTCTCGCCCCCCCCTCCGCTCGCTCGCCGCCTCCCGGCGCGGCCTCGGCACGCCCCGTTTGTTTTTTTTGGGAGGGGGCGTCCCTGCCAGGTGGGCAGCGGAGGGGCCCCGCGGGTGCAGGCGGCCCTTTGGGTCCGCCCGATCCGATCGGGGGGGGGCCAAGAGGGGGGGGGGTGATGATTCCCCTGACCTTCCAGAAGACAGCACCAGGGTCTCGACAGCTAGATTCCTGTCGATTGGGCAGTCCAGACAGGGCTGTCTGGAGGGTTATCTCCTGGAAGGTCAGGGTAGGGTCTGGGTGGTGCGGACATCATGGCGGGTGGCCTTGATATCTCCCCAGATTTCATGGCGCCTCTTCGTATTCCAACGCGTCTCCGGCCCCCCCAGACTGGGCTGCGCACATGCCGCCGGCCGTGATCTGCGCCCCCCCCCCCTGGACCCCGGACGCCCCTGATCCGAGTCGATATTTTCCCCGGCCGGCCCAGTTCAATTCGATTCCGACATTTCTCTTTGGACGCCGGGAATGGGTACGGAAAAAAAGGGTACAGTGCCCAACAGCAAATGTTGTCCCAAACCAACAGCGGCCGCTGTTGGGCAGGCGGCCTTCCGTCTCAAATGGACACAGGCCGCGGCGGCGCGGACAGCGAGTCTTGTTCCAAATGAACAGGAACTGCTGTTGGGCATTGTACCCATTCTTTCCGTGCCCATTTCTTTCGTGCAGATTCCCCAGACATGCTCACGTCCTGACAAACATCAGGACGGCGGGAGGCTCTTGGTCGTCTTGGACCTCCGGGTGCCCTTTGGCTGGGCCGCGGGAGCCCCGCAAAACAGCGACCTCGGGAGGAGAAAACACCGGTCCCAGGGGAAGGGTTCGGGTCTTCCGGGGGCCCTGCACTGAACAAAAACAGGACATCGCACGTATGTCTGGGCTCCGATATTCCGACGCTCCGATGCGGCCCCACGCCTGCATGGCGCTGGTGTGCGTCCAGGCGCAGCCGATCCGATACGACGTCGGCTCCGTGCCGATGCGGCCCGATCCGACGCGCGTTGTGGTCCGATCCGGTCTCCCGCTTCGACGCTGAGCGGCCCTGCCCCGAGATGCCCCTGGGCTCACCGGCGGTGAACGTGTCCGCATCCGCACCCTCGCGGTCTGCAGTCTGGTACCGCGATCCCGTGGATCCGCGGTCGGAGGGGTGCGCTCCGCGCGGGGCACCCGCGAACAAAGTTGTACCCCGCATCCGTGGAGTCGCGGCCCAGGGGTCCTGCCCGCGAGACCGCTGATGCGGATATGTCTCCCGCCAATGATGGATGGATCCCGATTGGTTCGGTGCTGAGTGATCCTGCCATAGGATGCCTTCCAGGGCCCCTTCACGAGCTCAAGTCAGGCCCCGGTGAGGACGCCTGCGCACTGCCACCAGACCGCCATGTGCACTCCGTGAGAATGGTCTGGGATTCGTCGACCACGTTGCGAAATCCGAGCCATACCCCCGCGTCCCATCGAGTCAGGAGATTCGATGGCTGGTGCGGGTAGGGTTCGGGTGTCACCACCTGAGGAGGTTCCCAGAGGCGCCACGAGGCCCCCAGGTCGGGTCTTGCTAGAGGTGCCCCTGGCCCAGGCTGCCCCCATGACTTCCATGGAGGCCGCCACCACCTCCAGAGCACCCCTCATGTGGCGTGGCCCAGAGGGCCCCAGGGGCTCAAGACTGAGCGTCAAGCGGGGGGGAACCTTGGGCAACCCCCGAAGAGGAGGAGGAGGAGGAGGAGGAGGAGGAGGAGGAGGAGGAGGAGGAGGAGGAGGAGGAGGAGGAGGAGGAGCAGGAGGAGCAGGAGGAGGAGGAGGAGGAGCAGGAGGAGCAGGAGGAGCAGGAGGAGCAGGAGAGAGGAGGAGGAGGAGGAGGAGGAGGAGGAGGAGGAGGAGGAGGAGGAGGAGCAGGAGCAGGAGCAGGAGCAGGAGGATGAGGAGGGAGGAGGAGGAGGAGGAGGAGGAGGAGGAGGAGGAGGAGGAGGAGGATAGCAGGAGAGGAGGAGGAGGAGAAGAAGGAGGAGGAGGAGAGGAGGAGGAGCAGGAGGAGGAGGAGAGGAGGGAGGAGGAGAGGAGGCAGGAGGAGCAGGAGCAGGAGGAGGAGGAGCGAGGAGGAGGAGGAGGAGGAGCAGGAGGAAGAGGAGGAGGAGGAGGAGGAGGAGTAGGAGCAGGAGGAGCAGGAGGAGCAAGAGGAGCAGGAGGAGCAGGAGGAGCAGGAGGAGAGGCCCTGCCAGCCTCCCGAAGAGCCGCTCCGCCAGCGGCCCTGCTGGACCCCTCCCGCGGGGGGCCCTGGCCGATCCGCTCGCCCTCGGCGGCCGCCGCCGCGGCCGCCGCCCGCGTGCGCCCCCGGGCTGCAGGAGCCGCGCCGCGAGCGGGCGGCGCGCCCCGACGACGGCGGGGTGCGGCTGGGCAGCCGCGCGCAGTTTGCGGCCGAGCCCGGAGGACGGGCCTCCTGGGGGACAGTCTGGGCGTCGGGGCTCGAGCTAAACGGTGCTTGGGCAATGTCGTGGGCCGTTTTCGTTTTGACTTGGTTTTGCAGCAAATGTGGAACGAGGACAGAACTAGGGATGACGAAAGCAACACGAAAACGGAAAACGCTGTTTCACTCGAGCCCTGCTGGGCGCCGCGTAATGGGGGGGGCGAGGTCGGGCATGTCCCTCTGCAGGAGGAAGGTTCAAAAGCAGGGAGCAAAGATAGGCAGTGGACGATTGTTCTTTCTATTATTTTGCTGAACTATGTTTGCACATTGTTTTGCCATGTTTTAGTTTTCGCCCAGAATCCGCCGGCAGGAGGACATGCCCGACCTAAGGATAGCCCTGACCTTCCAGGAGGGCTAAACAATAGCACCACGACCTCGACAGTGAAAACCCTGTCGGGGTTTTGAGTAGTCCAGATGATGGCCTACAGGGCTGGAGGGCCATGCTGTAGCACTCTGGCAGGTCAGGGACAGGGGGGGGCAGTGAGGGCTGGAGGAAGGGGCCCTCTGGGGCTCCTGCAGGGGCCTGCAGGGCCCAGAAGGGGGCCGCTGGGGTCCGAGAAGTGCACCTTTCTGCCCCTCTCCTTTCCCTGATCTTCCAGGAGGGCTGAAAAATAGCACCAGGACCTCGATATCTTCATTCCTGTCGAGGTTTTAGGCAGCCCAGATAGGTCTATAGGTCTGGAGGGCTATTGTTTAGCACTCTGGAAGGTCAGGGTTGTCGCCCGCCCAGTAAGCGACGCCCAATGTCAGAGGAGGGAAGGGCACCGCTGCCGCTGCCCCTGGGGGTCAGAGCCCAGGTCTCCCGGATGGGGTTGGGGCCCCTGGTAGATGGGGTCAGAGGATCGCGCTACATCGCCGATGCATCGGCGATGTGGCTCGATGAGGAGCCCGATGTTCTCCACGCCGGCGGCGCCCGATGTCGCCGACGCATCGTCGATGCATCGCCGATGCGTCGGCGATGCGATGCAGCGCGTTCCTCGACTCCAGGCGCGGCCCGAGGGGTGCCCGCCCGCCTGGGTTTTTGACGGGGTCTGCGCCTGTGCGGCGTTCTCGTCAGAGGCGCGCGCCAACGGAAAACGTGCTCGCTGTGCAGCCCTGGCACTCGGGGGTAGGACTTCATGCTCTGACCGCGGCTCGCCTCAGTCGCCTCGGGAGTACCCCTCTCGCCTCAGGAGTACCATCTCGTCGCTAGACCTGCGCCTGCCTCCCTTGCGCCCGCTGACCTAAAACTGCCAACGAACAAGACCTCGTTGGTGTACGCTCCCGACGCGTTTTTCCGGGAACAACAATAGAGCCACGACCACAAGGAAGTGGATTTTTCTGGATGGCCCCTCAGCGGGTGACCCCCGTCCTCGACGTGAACCCTTCGGTTGTGGCTATGCTCGATTCGGCCGTCGCGCACGCCCACATCGACCACAGCCAGTACTAAGTTGGCTTCGGTGTTCTGACGAGTGCTGGCATGCAGCAACACATCCTCTAGGGTGCGTCTTGAATGTGGATGTGGTCGCCTGCTGTCCACGCATCGTTGTGCGAGGTCGCCTACGTGTCCCTGTTCTGCGCGCTCTGGCTCCGGCACGCGCATTCAAGAACTCCATGCCGTGAGCGTGCTCCGTTCCCCCTCTCCGCGCGCCCGCCCGTAGACACGCTAACGGCGATGTAGGCAACGGCGACGTAGGTTTCGGTCGTGTGGGAACGCGTGTCTCGTGCTCTCCTGCATTTCGCCGAGTCGCTGTCGTTCGACACATTTTGCGTAGTGGAAGTGTAGGAGAGTGTGGACCGTGATTGCGAAGGCCTTACGGCCGGTGCCGCCGACCCTGAAGACGACGAAAATGAAAACGAGGGTGAGGAGGAGCAGGAGGAGGAGGAGGAGGTAGAGGAGGAGCAAGAGGAGGGGAGCAAGGGGGGGGAAGGAGGAGGAGGAGGAGGAGGAGGAGGAGGAGGAGGAGGAGGAGGAGGAGGAGGAGGAGGAGGAGGAGGAGAGTGTGGACCGTGATTTCCTGCCAGCTGGTCCCCTGCATCACCGTTCGGCAACGTCGCCGCCAGCGCGGCCCGGGCCATCTCTCTGACTCTTCCCTCGCCGCTGGGCCCGCCGAGGCCCCGCGCGGTGCCCCGCCCCCCCCCCCCGGCCGCCTCCGACCGCGGCGCGGCCCCGCACCGCTGCGACCGAGCGTGCCCAGGGTTAAGTCGGGCCTGTCCCTCTACAGGGGGAATATTCAAAGATAGTCAAAAATAGTCTGGGGACTATTTTTTGAACATTTTTTGGCCATTGTGGAATATGTTTCGAGTATGTTTTATTTTTCATCGAAGATCCCCTGTAAGGGGACACGCCCGACTTAAGCCCAGGGGGAGAGCACCCGACCATCTTCAGGAGGGAAAGCAACACACAGGCACAATGAATCGTCGACTCCCAGGAAGATATTGGAAGATGTGGGAAGTCGGGGGGAAGACGAAACCCCAGCAGATGTGGGAAAACAGGGGGGGGGTCCTGTTATGTGTGTCTATCTATTTGTGTGTGTGTGTGGGTGTGTGTGTGTGTGTGTGTGTGTCCCAGGCCCCCTTTTAGGGAAAGCGCCCGATCATCTGTCGGTGAGGGAGGCGGTCAGGGGCAACGATAGGGGGGGAGGACAGGGATACGGCGAGCGCATCGCTCCCCCATCGCCCACGGATCGCCGCGCCGATACGGGGTCTGATAGACAGCCCCCACCCCGCCCGGGAGCGTGCGGATGCGCCCTCGGGGGCCGATCGCCGATCCATCGGCAGTGCGTCGCTGACTCTGGGTCGATGCCCCTCCCCCCGTGCCTGGCCCTCCTTTTTTTCGTTGCCCGTCTGAGAGGGGGCAGGGGGCCACTTTTGTATGAGGAACATCCTGAAGGCCTCGCGCGGCGCGTAATAGAAGCATCATCTAGGCCACACGTCAGCTCCGTAAGCTATGAGTCGACGCTCGCGCGGTGGTGCTCCGGAGTCAGGTCGACGTAAATCCGACGTAGACCGACGCGAACCCGCGTAGATCCGACGTGGATCCGACGTAAATCGGGTCTCGAGTTGCCGCGCGAGGCCTCGAGTCGGCGTCTCTCCAACATACTTCTACTATGTGTGCGTCGCCCCCCTAGCGGCGACGCGAGCACCGAGAAATCTTATAGTATATGCCTCGTGGCGGGCGCTTTCTGGCCACACCGCTCGGGAAAGGACATATTACAAGATGGGCATACTATATGTTCGGGTCGGACGCGCGCTTCCAAGGAGGACATCTAGTATCAGTATGTCTCCGTGCCTCCCATCCATAATTTTCCTCCTAGTTTTGGCTCCAGGCCTGCCGCCGGTGGAGGTGCGCCCGGGAGGGGGCGGCAGCGAGGGGGGCGGGCCCCCTCCTCGGAGGGCACCGCGGGAGCCCGGCCGGGCTCCTGAAGAGCCCCGCCGTTCTCTGATGAGGCCCGCTCCCTCTCGCTTCCCCCTCCTTCAAGCAGTGGCGAAGCGTCCTGGCGTGCCTGTAGGTCTACCAAACAATGCTCTAGGAACGTGAACCGTTCGTCGTTTCCACGAGATGTTCTTAGACCATTTCTGGCCAGGACTGTGTCTTGTTTTAACACGTCGGGTTTAGGTTCTAAGTACGTTGTTTTTGTGATTGAAGCCTTTTTGGGTTCTAGGAATATTTCGTGGTAGGCCTATAGGAATGTCGGGACGGTCGGTCCCTGTTCAATGATGAGGCCCGCTCCCTCTCGCTTCCCCCTTCTGGGCGCCGCCTATGCCCAGACGTGCAAGCGTGCAGACAAAAATCGAGGGCGCGCAAACATGGATTAGCGATCCATGGATTTGGCGCGCGGTCGCCAAATCCATGGATCGGGGGAGGTGCCCTCCCCAAAATGCGGCCGGTGCCGCCTCGCTCGGCGGCGGAAATCCGCGATTTCCAATGGAGACGGGACCCGTCGCTAATCCACGCCCCCTTGATCCATGTGCCGTTCGGGGCCTCCGTGGGCCCTTACAACAGGCCCCAGGACCGTCAATTCCAGGACGCAGGCCGGAGAGCGGGTCTTGGGGAGCGGGTCGGGGCTACCGGGGGCCACCAAGGAAAAATCCAGACACCGCACATCAGGGCCTTGCGGTATCCATCAGGATGGCGCAGACGTCCTTGGCGTGTGCACGGGGCTCTTCGCTGCCTTCGAGATACTTCACGGCGTGCGTCGGCAGCTGCGCCTCGTCGAGGGCTGCCCGCGGGCGCCGGGGCAGTCCGAAGCGGCCCTCCTCTGCTCCTGGTCGTGGCCAGCCGAACCGTCCAGAGCCCCGCCGTGCGCGTGGCGATGCGGGACTTGAGGGCACTCCACTGCGTGCCAGAGCCGCGATGGCGGCCTGAGGAGTGGCACCCGTCGGTCTTTGCCTGTGCGCTGCTCGCGGCGGCTTCCGACGGGCAGCGTCGGTCGCGCTCGTTTGGAGCAGTGCCTCTTCCCGAAGAGCCACCGCTCTGGTGGCTACTCTTCGCCGTCGCGCAGCTGCCCTCGGCGCGAGCACGTGCCTGCCTGTCTGCGTGTCGCGCCCCCCCCCCCCCCCCCCCCGCGGCGCAGGCAAGTGGGCACCCTGCGTGGTCTCCGCCACCGGCGAGCTGCGCGAGGGCCCCGGCCGCGCGCCGGGTGCTCCCCGCGCCTACGACGCCGCCGGCTCAGTGGGCCCCTTCGCCCCGGGCTCCGCTCGGCGACACGCGAAGATCAGATGAGGAGAAAACACACAGACACAATGAATCTTCGATTTCTCAGAAAATATGGGAAAATACGGGAAGTGGGGGGGAAGACAGAAACCCAGAAACTATTGGAAAATATGGGGATTGTTTTTTATTTGTGTGTATTTATTTGTGTGTGTCCTGGGGCCCCTTCAGAAGAGTGACCCTTCGCTCGAGTGACCTCTGGGGCGGGCTCGTCGGGATCCCCCGATCGCCAAGCACGGTGCGCTGGCAGCCTCTGGCGCGCCCGTGTCTGGTCCCCCCGTGGGGCGCCCCCAGGGTCACTGGGTCACTCTTGCGAGGAGGAGGAGGAGGAGGAGGAGGAGGAGGAGGAGGAGGAGGAGGAGGAGGGGGAGCGAGGAGCGAGGAGCGAGGAGGAGGAGGAGGGAACGCCTTGGATTCAGGGGGACGTTCGGGGGAAGAGTATGCTCAGGGGGGGACGCAGCGACCCGCCATCGCCCACTGCTCGCCGACAACGGGGCCCGAGAAAATTGGCCCTCCCCGCCCGCGGAGCGGGCGGATGCGCCCTCGGGAGCCTGCCGCCGACCCATCGGCGACGCATGGCGGATTCCAGCTCGACGTCTCCCTTCCCCCCCCCCCCCCAAGACCTGGCCATCCCCCTGACTCTCGGGCCGGGCGGAAGGGTGGGGTTGGGAGGGGGGGGGGGGTACGAAATTTGCTGCATGCAGCCGGTTTCGGCCCCACCGAGGGGCCCATTCCTCGACACATGGCCGCCTCCGGCGCCGGGCGGCGCCAGGAAAATCAGCTGCGCGAGCTGGTTCTCCCCCACCCCCCCTGTTGTTGTCCCCCCCTTTCGCCCGACCCGAAACTCAAGTCGGAGGCGACGAGGGGGGCGAATGGCACAGAGGGGAGTAATACATGTATCCAGGGGCGCCGATGGTCCGTGCCTTCGGCGAGGGTCCCGGGCGAAGGCGTGCAACGCCCGCTCCTGCGCTATGTGCGCCGATCGTCACCTCCGACCAGCTTTCCCCCGCGTGGATGCCGGGGTCGAGGGTCGCAGGCGTGCCCGGCGTGACTCTGCGTTGCGGCGCGGGTCCAGGCAGGGAGCGGTGCCGCACCCCTGCTGCGGTGGATGGCGTCCTCTGTGCCCCTCGAGCTTGTCGCGCTTTGGGTCCCATCGCACGGCGGTGCCACTTGAGGGCCGCCTGCAATCCGACTCGATGCGACTCGATTCGCCGACTGGGGCCGCGATTCCGATTTGATCCGATGCGGCTCGGTTCGCCAGCATCGGCTGGGGCCAGCCAGAGCACAGCGCGGCGATCCGATGTTGACTCGATTCGAGACGATTCGCCCGCGATCCGATCCCTTCTCGATCCGATCCGACTCCGCGGTTCGATTCAGCCCAGGCCTGCCATTTTCGGTCCCCGCGGTCCAGGGCTGTTAAAGGCAAGTGCCTGGTGGCATATCCAGGTTTGCTCGCCTGCACCTTCCCAGCTCATTGGGCACATGTCGAAGGCAAGAGAGCAAGAGGATGCGACAGCAAGAGTTGTACAGTCGA